ATAAGTAAGTCTTAAAATTACAGTCTGTCTTTACGGCCTTTCATCGTAACTTAATGTCATATTTCCATTATAAAATTTAATGTATATGTTAGGTAAATCTTAAGGTGGACTTATAGACGGCTTAGCTGTTTTCTAGGAGTTTTACAAGCCAAATTATAGGAAGTAGCGTAGGTAGATAGTAGTTGATTAATAAAGTAATTAGCTTAAGCTTTTTTGGTAACTTAAGAGAATGAACTAATTCTCTTAAATTACCAAAAAAGCTGTTCAATTATAGATTCTATTCCGAACACTCTCACCACAGAGTAAGTAGTGAGTAGAAGATTTTCACTCGGTTAAGAGGGTAGATGACGTAATTGAATCCTCCCAGACAAAGACACGCTTACCACAAGTCCCTAACACCAGGATATAGTTAGCTTACATTCAGGTTTAGGGCGTCGATAGCAACGCGCATGCGCAGAAACGTCTAGTAATTGAGACGGACTATCTATAGTACTGTGTGGAAAATCTTAGCGCGAACGTTTCTCGTTTCAAGGTTTCGCTTGTTTGATCTCTACCTACAAGTCTTACGAGGTATTAAATGTATGAGGTCTTATGTAGGGGAGGAAAAATTCATGGATGGTTCCAGAAGGTCCGGTATAAAACAATACTTTTAAAGCTGTTAAGTCTAAGTCTTTTCATAGTATATTCAACAAATAATACATATGAGATTTAGTTTCTGTATTTTTTTTATCGTATTATGTATTTTAATAAAATACTTTTGACGGTTTAAATCACAGATATATTACGCAACTAATTTATTTGACCCGACGTTTCAAATGTTTTGCAGCACTGAGGGTCATAAGTGTTACATAGTGGTAGATCGTAGTCTTTCAGTCCCAAAAATGTGCTTAATATTCTACTTATTCTATGCGTAAAAAATAATTAGATTTTTTCTAATTATTTTTTTAAATAGATCTTTTAAAAATGTAATTTATTTTAATTTGATAAAAAAAATAAAACACTTTAACGGTTTAAAACGCGATATATTGAAATAGCCTTGGTCACGTGGAGAATGCTGCTGCTGCAAAGCATCCGAAACGTCGGGCCGTAGTTAAAAATAATTTTCCAACTAGTTTAACTATAATATATATCGAGTTTTAAACCGTTAAAGTATTGTGTATTTTAATGTGTACTACTCGCGTAAACTACAGACAATGCTTAGTACAAAACATATTGATATTAAATAATACTTACTTCAAGTTACGAAGATGTTTTTATTTCATTGTTACAACAATAAACATTATGTTTACCTCTACGGCTTCTCTCTTATGTAAGACACTAATGATGTCTAAGCCGCGTTCTGCGGCTAATATTAACATTTCTTATCCTATTACTGGAATTGAGTTAGACAATAATATGAATCGTCACTCTAAATTCAGTTGTTTAGTCTTAGTACAAACATTTTCGTGTCATTCTTCGCTTATTTAAAGTGTCAAGATTAAAATTACATTGCGAGAGAGGTGCATGTATCTAGTTATCAATATTTGCTTCACTCCACAAGGATTGACTCAAAGGGTTAACTATCAAATCCGGAAATATAGCGTTCCGCTTTATCAATCTCTTGCGGAACGAATTGGATTTCAGTACATTTGATGAATACCGCTTGGAAGGAAGCCAGACATTTGATTCGATGGGTTTAGTTGGATGGAAAATGAGGCGTTGTGTACAATTTCAACATACAAAATATTAATATGTAGTATAAAGCTAAGTGTGTTTGTTTGTTTGAACGTGATAATCTTAAGAACTAATTTGTTTTGTGTTGGTTAGAGCATTTATCTAGGAATGCTATAGGCTATTAAACATCGCGATGCGACTTATAGGACCGAAGGAACGGCGTGAAATGTGAAAAAAAAACGGGGAACATTATTCACCCTTGTGTGTTTCCGTTGCGTACGCTTCGAAAACGGTTCAAGATACCCAAAATATTTGAGTGAAAGAATGATTCCGCTTTAAATGATAAAAAAAGGAACGTCACAGTATATCTTTTAAGATTAACTTGTAAAAACGACGAGACCCGAACGACACTATAGGTCTAATATTTTAATGACCGAAATAAATATTCTACGCTACTACAAATGTCCTAGCAGCAGCTTGATACTGGCTCGTTGTGTAATTGTATGATATGTATAATGGTTTATGTATGGCTTATTATCCATTAAACATCCAACATTTTTCTAATCCATTACCACACTACCATCAAGTAAATCCCGTGCCTGTCTGTTCTCCGTTGCAATAGAAGAACGCTATCGTCGTAGGGTTCAATCAAAATGTTTATTAGTTTATGATAATAATTTTGTCCTGTCATATAGTTAGTTACATCATAAATACATATATTGTAGTATATAAATATATATCTTTATCTAAAAACCAGATATAGCTCGAAATGCGCTACTCATAACTTTGGTAGCAACTAGTCGACAAAAGTTAGAAATATATTTTCTTTCGAAAAACCTTTTATTTAAATCTACTTTAATTAAACGTTTTTGTATATGCACGATACAGAATTAGGCTTTTTCTAGAAACAAACGTAGCAATCAAATTCCAACATTTTTACCGGTAACCATCTCTGTTTAACTGGTGGTGTGAGAGGATAATGTACGCCCACGTGGAGCATTTGTGACGTAGGGCATGTAATAAATCGGACTACACCCGACGTGTTCGAGCTGGTAGTACCAACCCCACCAGACGCGACCAACCACTAAATACTCCACTACCCTATGCAATGCTTTCAAGGGAGCCCTGGGAATATATTTGTACGACTCCAAAGCCCCCAGGCAACATAAATAAGTAACATAAGATCTGCATTACTGAAATATTTTTATATAATTTATAAATTAGTCAGTGAAAAAAAGTTTGCAAATACGAAATAAAAACCAAAGTCGCCAGTTGTTCAGGACTATAAAAATATATGAATTTTTAATTAAATAAAACACTTTTAACGGCTTAAAACACGAAAAAAACTAGTTAATAACTTCTTTATTTATTTAAATATTGTGTACTCGCGTAATGTACAGACAGATCATAATGACAAGTTGAGTTAATGCAAATAATCTTTTTGTATGTACAAATTAATTAAAATCTTGTTTCATGTCAGATCTTTTAAACACACCAATGATCGCTGAATGAATAAGATGCAGGCGTATTGATTTATGCAGTGACCTAGTTGCAGTTTATGCCCCCGCGCGTCTTTGCCCGGACCACTCCTGTGTCCACCTGGTGCGGTAGGTTATGGCCACACTTTTAAATAAATTAGAAAAGTGTTGACATAAATAATGTTAGTTGACCATTTATAGTTCACTAACTGTTTCGAGAATTTCACCCGTGTAGAATAGTTATTCTGGGCATCAAAATTTGTTTTTGCAAATCTCCCCTCACCTTTATAAATTACTAGCTGTGTCAGCGATTTCGTCCGCGTTTAATAGCTATTTTGGACATAAAGAAAAATTGTTGCAAACATCCTCTCATCTTTATAAATTACTACCTGTGTCAGCGGCTTTTTCCGCGTAGAATAGTTATTTTGGGCGTCAAATTCTGTTTTTGCAAAACTACATCGTTCGCCTCCCATCATTCTTGATTAAAAGATAGACATATATTGACGTGTTGTTTGTTTGATCATTCGGAGTATCTTCAAAAATTAATATTGCTCCCGAATTTTCCACATTTCCCACTACTTCTTGGTTGGTTCCTATTAGTCGTAGCATGTTGTTTTGTAGCCCAAATCCTTTCTCGATAAATGCTTTAATAAACACAAAAATATTTTTTCAATTCGAACCAGATGTTTCTGAGATCAGCGCGTTCAAACAAACAGACTCTGCAGTGTTATAATATTAGTATAGATATAATATGGTGGGTGACAACAGTTACTATGAAGAAATGTTGACATTTGAGGTCCATAACCATTTATCTTACATTTGAAAGAGCGCATACTTCTCGCGCGACCTAGGATCGTAGTTTTGGGACTTACAGGATCACTATATATATTATATACACGAAACTACTAATAAGCAAAGTTACGGGTTAAGGTAGTTAAGGGTTCGAGTGTTCTTTATGTAGCTTCTTTCATTGCAAAAAGGTACTTATAAGACGTACGTTATCCCTCATGTTAAATGAAAATTATATACTTAAGACATGTTTCACAATAGTTATTATGGACTTTATTAGAATAATTTAGGTCAGGAGCATTTAATTCTTGATATTATATATAGATAGGCAACAGTAATAAAAACAACTTTTCCATCTAATATGTATATTTCTGCCACCACACTAATATAACGCTTACCTAAATTACACAATACAAACAAATGCATGTTTTAAAACTAAAGAAATTACGAGCAATATACAACAGAGAGAGAGATATATATGAGAATATAATATTCTGTCCTTTTACTTATTTGTGAACAGCGCCATCTATCGTTAACACAGCATTAAAATCATACCATTTTTAGTATCTACAAATACAAAGAGTTAGTCCTTTGTATGTTTATGAGTATATTATATACAATTTGAGTTTGCTTCATTTGAAATACTAGGAGTAGGATATAGATAAGGTAAAAAGTTGAACCCGTCTTCCCCGTGTCGCCCCAACACATTCTGTCTCTTTCACTGATCGATTTCATTTGAAGTTAAGCTCCTGTGGCCTTTCAGACCGACACAATCTTTTGCTACCCCGGGTTTCAAATCCAGGACCTTCCTTGCCTGTTAAAACATTAAGCTCTGGTTTTCTTCGAATACTGTTCTTATATTGGTATTTTTATGGATTATACATCTTTATACACACAACATGTACACTAGCTACTATCTCCTTCTGTCACATGTTATATCAACAGCTAATGTCTGACTTTTAAGTTTAAATTCGAAATCTATGTTATATTCACAAAAACATGAGATTTAACGCCACATTACCCCGGTCGTTTATAGACTTCGTATCAAAGTTCTTTTGTGGCACGTTTTATAACGACTAGCTAATACCGGTGTCTGCTGGGGTATATGTTTGGGTTCTGTACGTTAGGATTGGACTGCTGCACTGGATATCCTTGGGTGATACTGCCTGGTTTCGTCTGAAAGAAGATGATAGTAACGGTTATCAAAACCAATAACATACTTTTAACAGTTTAAAACGTGAAATGTAGAAGTTTACTTCTTTACAATTTTTGTAACTATGGCCCGTAGTTACCCAATAACTTCGCGTTAAATAGTGTCTTTAGTTTATGCGGGTAGTACCTACACATTTAAATAAGTCATTTTAACGGTTTAAAACGCGAAATATATTAGGCAAACTTATTTGACAATTATTTTAACTACGTCCCGACGCTCCAGATGCTTTGTAGCAGCCGTGGTCACGGGGAGCCATCCCCCGTCTCCCCATGTTTTATGTAAGTGTTTCGCGTTTTAAACCGATAAAAAATGTCAAACGTGTCACACGTTTGAAGAAAACATTTTTTATATTTATCTTTAACGCAAACTACAGACAATAACCAATAAGTCTTCAAAACCTAACTGTACATAAAGCACCGTGACGTGACGTCATTATTTGGTCTTTAAATTAAAAATATATCAGCTACGTGCTGTCTGTTGTTAAAACGCTTTTAACAGTTTAAAACGCGAAATATCTTACTTAAACTCGTTGTTGTGACCAAAGCAAAGCAAGTCGTAGTTGAGACAAGTAAAAAATTAGTACTGTCATCTCTTTACCTGTATGCTATTATGTTGTGGTGGGTGTATGGCGATGTGTCGGGAGACAGGTGGCTGTGCGTACACCACCCCACTCGAGACTGTTGGATGATGTGCTTCACTTAGCCCAATCAGCACTTGCGGTGCCTTAGAAGGATATTTGTTACGCTTAGAGAATTGTATATTTTTATCATTGCAGTTAGTATATAGTATTTTTTTATTTATTTATTAAACGTTAATAATTACAAACACCACAGGAATGGTTTACAAGAATAAATCCTTATGGACTAGGTTATAACTAAAAGGCGGCCTTATCGCTAAACAGCGATCTCTTCCAGGCAACCTGAAGTGAAGGGAAAAACAAAAAATAAAAGGACTATAGGTAGGTGGTGCTAGAAAGGATCGTGAAAAAAACAGACAATTAACAGCTGGAAAGATACAATTTGGTAACTGAGACTTTAAAAGTACGGAGAGATTGAGCTTTTCTGATGTCTAAGGGAAGAGAGTTCCAGAGATTAATGGCTTTAATAGTGAAGAAGTTGTTAAAGAAGACTTATGCGCAGGAATAAATAATAAAAGATTATGAATCGAGCGAAGATTCAAATTATGTGAACTTAAAGGAAGAAAGTTTTCTTTTCAAATAGGCCGGGGATTTAGGGTCGAAAAGGATACGATAAAGGAGAATAGCAGTGTGGTATAGTCGGGCAGGTCTCAGAAGTTTGATGGGCTGATCGGTATTATAGTAACATTGTATGGTTAATAATTAACGGGTCGTCGGTAACCACTGGGCCAAAGATGTAGTTTAAAGAATTTATAATTTTTCCGAAACGCATTGGACTTCGTCTGAAAATCTCAATATTAAATGGATGGTAGGAATATCGAGTCTAATCGCGTTTTGTTTTTTCTGTGGATTTCCAAACATACAAAGCTGACACAGATTGATAGTGTATCTTTAGATGATAAGTGCTGGGTACTTCGCCTAACATCGAATGAACCACATGCTTGTCTGTTCTCCTCTATCATATAAAAAAGTCTAATCGACTACTAATGTTATAAATGCGAAAGTAACTCTGTCTGTCCGGCTTTAACTCCGAAACTACTAAACTGATTTAAATTAAATTTCGTACACAAATATTTTAAAGTCTGAGAAAGGATATAGGATATACATTTTTAATGCCAAAAAATGGTTGATAGGGGTTGAAAAGGGGGATGAAAGATTGTATGGAAATTTGTGGTTTTTGAAGCTAGAACAATGAAACTCTCTTAGGCTTTTTGGGAATAGGAGTGGGAGTGAGTTTAGGAATGAGAGTAAGAGTTAGAGTAGGAGTGATGTGAGTGATATATTGGCTGCCTTAAATGCACCCTTACATAAATTAATAAACACCGAAAAATAATTAAAAATTCTACCCCAAGTTACTATTCCACGTGGACAAAGTCGCGGGCACAGCTAGTATCTTATAAATAATATAAATATGAAAAAAAAATGATCAGTGAAACGGACACAAAAATATGTCGCCGTGCCTCTTGAGGGGAAACGAGATAGGTTCAATGTGAGTTTCCAGCTTAGAAAATCATTGTATTTGGAAGAAGATTATGCGATATCGTATGTGACTGGTTATAAATATAATTCTCACTTGTTGATCCTTCTTCGGCTCCGGGTGTTGCTGCCCATCTCTATTCTTCAGCATATCAAGATATAGCTGTGACTGCGGCGCCGGCGCATACATTAAGTTCGAATGGTGTGGAGTGTGCGGAGTGTGAGGAGTATGAGGCGTGTGAGCGTGATGGGCATATAATAATGGGGGCGGGCGTTCTGCGACCACGCCTACAACGCTGGTCTGCATAGCGTAATATCCACCAGATGACACGCTGGAACCGCTTACGTTTGAAGGGTACTGCGACGTTTCTATAGATAAAAATATAATGTTAAAAATCCTTTATTTTCAGAAATATGAAATATAAATCGATTATAAATTAAAAAAAGAAACTGACACGGGCAGCACTTGCCGGCATCCACAGCGATCTGTGCTGTTACTTCAACCAATTGAGCTACCGTGTAGCAGCACGGTACGCTGTGGATACCGGTTCCACTCCTGCCCGTGTCCTAATTCTTTTCAAGTTATATTCGATTTTTAATTTGTGTTATACTTAGTAGTTACAGTGCCATCACGTACAAAAGTTTTCAAGTATGAAATAACTATGTTTTTATAACACTACGAGAAACAAATAGATGATATCGGGTGCTGTTTAATGATGTATTTTTCGTAAGAGATGAGTGGATTAAGGATCAGCTGGACTCATCAGAGTTACGGCTTGCAATAGACACCAAGTTGGGAGAGATTTGTGCACCTCAAATATAATGTAATCTATATAAACACAATAGTTATTAATTTATTCAAAATCACGTTTTCCGGTGTCCGTTTCAATATCGATTTTAGTAAGAGGCAAGTATCAGCTCCAGAATTCTGTCTTTTGCCCGTTTGAGACAATTTCATGGATTCGAACCCATGACTTCTTTGCTTGACGCAATGCTAGACGATCAAAAATGAAACGAAGAACTTATTCAGTCTAATAGAAGTTACATTATTCTTTTAAACAAGGAAACGTGGTAACTGCTAAAGTGATATTTATCGTTACTCCCGCCTGGTGAAGGACAGCGATAAGATTCATAAAGATACAAAGTGACGAACCAAATCCAGATTAAATGATACGGATATTGCATCAGAAATTGATAAAGTTCATTGTTATTGAACAAGGAACCTTATTGCAGGTTTTAAACAGAAATTAAACCCTTTATTTTATATGATTTACATTATTACTATTTTTAACTTTTTGCAGCGAATGTGCATGAGAGAGACTTCTATCGATTTTTATTAATTTAACATGTAATTGTGGTTTTTATTAGTAAATTTAGTTCGAAAACTTTATTAATTTTTACATGTTATTGCACATGAAGGCACTATATAATTTAAAAATCGAAAATAAATTGAAAAATTTTTCGACTCGGGCAGGACTTGAACCGGCATCGTCAGCGTTCCGTGCTGTTGCTCTACCAATTGAGCTACCGAGTCGTAGTGAGAGTGTAGCTCAATTGGTAGAGCAACAGCACGGAACGCTGACGATGCCAGTTCAAGTCCTGCCCGAGTCGAAATTTTTTTCAGTAAATTTAGGTAGTTTTATTAGTTTAATATAAATCAATGTAGAAGTTTACAGAAAATTAAGATTTCATGTTAACTCTGTGTATGTTTACTAAAAATATAAAGTTTAGTTTGCTGTTGTGGAAAAGAAAAAATATCAGCTCATACAATTTAAGTGACCTTTGATCGGAAGATTTGTTTACTTAGTATATTTACATACATACATTTTTAAATTTCTGAAATTACTCAGTATATTTTACTTAACGAAGACAAAATCGATTACGACGCACTACAACTAGTACAAAAAATGTCTTCAAATTAACATTTTTGACAATTTTTGTTGCGATATGGTGGGGGTAGACTGAGGCTTGTTTTTGCTGAGATTAGTTATTAGAGACTAAAATTGCTATGCTTCTTACCAGTGTCTATCAGGTTAGTATTTGTCTATAAAATGAATCATTAAATAACATGGTAACCACATGGTGGTAGGATCCGCAATCTTAGCAACCGCTAAGAGCTTTCAAATCTCCAGTCCAAAGTCCAATTAGAAACACAAATGTTTATCGCAAGTCATTATCGGTTTATGTCAAATGGCCAAAAACTCACAATAGTCATGATGATTTGTGAGAAAAATATTTATGAACAAAAGCTGATAACAGTGACACGCAATATATCGATTGTGGAGTTTGGATCCAGAACGACTTGAGTTTAAAGTCCAGCTGATTATAAGTTAATATAATGATGAAGTTGGTATGAAATTAGTTTTCGAAGATTTAACGACTACCTTGAAAGCGTTTCCTAAATTGAAATTTTTGCAACGTTAAAATACCTACCGCTGACCTAACAGACGGTAAAGACAGATGGTAAACAGCACCATAACCCATTTTATGTTTAATAGTTTTATTAGTAAATGTTTGTTAAAGGAAACCACATTAGTAGTAGCTATTTAAACTAAAAAGATAGCAAATAAATGAACAAGTAATAAACAAATAAGGAACATAAAACGAAAGTCTAACAAAAGCGGCCTTAAAAGATTGTGTAGGATTGCTTTTCTTAGATTCCATAAATGTCAAAGTGTATGAGTTTGTTATGGATGAAATGAACGAAAGACCACAAATGAACAAACTACAGGTGAGCTAGCGAAAGATGAACGTTACTAGGATAAGATAAGGCGGCCAACCGTCCCGCATTCTCCGGGACCGTCCCGTAATGCTAGACAAATCCCGCAAAGAAATTATTAGTAAAGTAGTCTCGTTCAAGGTTGTATGCGTCCCGCATTCCTGTGTCTGTACCACAGACCACACAGGTGTCATTCGAGTGACCTTAGTGTTGGGTTTCTGATAATTATATCAACTAGTCCCTAACACTCCCACCCCATTCTATCTATTCACCAAAAGTCCCCCATTAATTTTCTAGAAAGTTGGCCGCCTTAGGTTAAGAACACTTGTAAATCGTGCAAAAGCCACTAACGACACCTAGCGGGCAAAACTCACTGTTCCACAATACCGCGCGAGCCATTTGTCGGCCCATGCGACCGTCTTCTAGTTCTGGAAAAGATTGTTTTTAATAACACTTATAATTACGACATTTTAATATATTAAGCATAGGTCCCTTGTTTAAATTTTGTCTCTTGGATTGGTAAATTTGCGTAAAAGCCTTAGTATGAGCTAGTTTACATTAACTTTAACATAAGTACTGTCAGTAGTTTACACGAGTACTATTTAAATAAAACACTTTTAACGGTTTAAAGCGCGACATGTATTAGAATCAGCCGACAGGGGGCACTGAAGATGGAGGGTTTTTCTAATCTTAAAGCCAAATCTGCTACACTAGCGCCATCTGTTTCATCGTAGTTAGTAGTCGGTAGCAGTTGGTTGACTTCATAGCAGATTTGACTTTTATATTGATATATAACCGTTAAAATTATTTTACTTAAACTTATTGTGAGGCCGTAAACGTTAAACGAAGATAAAATAACACCTTAGCGTAAGTGCAAGACAGATGGACATAGGAAGTTAACTATCAACTCGATTCTAAGCTATACGCAAATTCACTGTACCTTATTTTCCCCATTACATCTCACGTAATAATTGAAAAAAAAAGCTGAATAATTTAGTAAAATACTTAACCCCAAAGCCCAAGAAAATGTAGTTAAAAAGGTTTATTTTTGAACTTTATTTGCACTATTTTAAAACTCCCAAAACATAAAACGATCCTTTAATGATATGATCTTATCAATGCAAGCTTTATACGATAAGATTATAAGATACTTACTATGATCCGAATATACAGTATGTTGTTTCATGGCGGGCTGGTGCAGCCGATGGGCGTATAGAGCGTATGTGGGTGACGGAGATCGCTGTCGTTTGACACCAGACTGTATAGGACCACGAACAATAGTTTGCTGTTGTGGAAACAATTTGTACTTTGAGTAGGCTTTCTTAAACAAAGAGAAAGACACGTTGAGCCCTGAGTTCGTAACTACGACAACACCGAGAAAGGGGATAACGGCCAACGGGATATGTGGGCATATAAATGGTGTTCCTTAAATTCAAAATGTGTCTTAGATGTGGCTTGGTGAGCCCAAGTCTTATTTGTCAGTATGCGACGAGTACACATATATATTTTTTTATTTTTCACGGTTTAAAACACGAAATCTATTAAAGAATTCTTTTTGTTTTTGTTTGAGATGCTTTGCTGATTGTAGTTAATCTAAATTTAGAATATGTCTACTAATACATTGTGTGATTTTAACTGTAAAATGTTTAGAAATTTGATGGAATTAAAAAGGAACCAAAAATTGGGATATTTGATATTGAGCTACAACTATACACTCAGAAAAAAATTGTCAGGTTTTCCTATTTCGCCATAGTTGCTGCGTTTACGCATCAAATAAAGGGTACTGAATTGAAATTGTGGGTACCTTTTGTTTAATTTTCGAACTGTACTTTGTCATATTTATTTAAAAAATAATATTTAAACAGTTGCTGAAATATATTTTTTTCAGATACGGCTTTAACTGTCACAATATAGCGCAAAACAGTTCGAGAACCTCAGGTTAAACTTTTTAACAGAATTAAACTACAATAAATGGTTACGCGACACTGTACACACATAACATGTTTTCTCAAATTTTGGAACATCATTTATATCAACTCCCACCACGGATAGATTTTTGTAACTTAAACATCGACAACTCAAAAGAAAAGTGCTCAAGACGGAGAGAGAATTTTTTAATAAAAAAGCAATTATTCGGGGGAAAATTAAAGGTTACGATGCAAGAATAGTTTTACCTGTTAATCCGATAAACTCATTTAAGTTCGCATTGCACTGTAACTAAATAACATTATTTTTTTTTCAAACAGGACTTAGTTTCTTATCTTCATTCTTTGTATTGGTTTCCTTATGATTCAAGGTGGAAATATTGTTTACTTTCCTGACTATACCCAAATTTATTTACTGCATAAGTAGTGTAGAGTAAATTTGTATTAGATTGCATAGGAATCGATATCTATATAGAACTTCATTATTTTTTTTGTGATTGATAATTCAATAAATATCAAGGTTTAATAATTATAATCAGCTTGTAACCCATTATTCCCCAACTTTACATATTAATATATTTTTAAAAAATATCTTTTTTTTGCAGAGTGACTGACACTATGTTTATTTTACCTTATTCAGCATATGGGAATTCATGTGTTGAGGGCGACCTTGTGACGGTGGTGGTTCACCCTGACCCTGGGAGGAGGGCATGGAAAACATTGGCATTTGGATATTACCCAGCGGCATCTTCATCGGTTGCATCTCACTGTAAAAAAAAATATTTGGTTAGAAGATATACTTTTACAGTAAAAGTTAAATCTCTGAAGTAAGGGTTTATAGTTATCCCAGCTTTTGCATTGAAAATGTATGTATGTTACAAATTACTTAAGATTATAAATAAATTTAAAACCAGACAAGGACAACACAATTCCCTAATATTTTGGCCACTGACGACTCACTTAGCCTCCTTCTGTTGCTGTCTCTTTCTAACTTCGTCCTCATTCAACACTCTCTTCAACTGCATAAAGAGCTGTTGTTTCTCTTTCTCTAATTGTTTTAATTTTTGTTCTAACTGCTCTATTTGTTCTTTTGTTTCCTCTGAAATTTTATCTTAAATTTTAAAAATATGTAGTAATTTTTACAATGGACAATTATCTGTCACAGTTATAGGCGGATTTTAAATGACAAGAAAGATGAAAACAAATAAAATTGCCAGCCCTTCTTAACTACATTTTAATATTTGACATAAAAAGTATACAAATTTTAAATCAGCTGTTAAAGTTTATAAAATGCCTTGATCATCCAACTTAAGATTGTAAAGTACATGTTCCATTAATAAATTTATTAAAATTTGCATAGCATACTCTTACCGAGTGTCATAACATCTTGTCTCTCTCTGGCCTCCCGTTCTTTTCGTAACCTCTCTTCTTCAACCTCAGCTTCATATTCTAAAAACAATGTTGTTAAAGTAACTAATGCATTTAAACCAAATTTAAATCATTGTTTATTGCTAACACAAAACTAATTGTGGTCATGCAACTTGGGATGGTCATCTTCACAGTTAATAATTGTATAGTTAAATATACTGCATGTGTAGTATGGAAAAACATCTGATCAGGCTAGAAGTAATGTAGTTGCTGAAATGCTTTTTATGATCATTATTCAATATTGGCATGCATATTGAAGATTTTTAATAGATACCTACAAAGACATTCTAAAAGTGCCTATTCTAAAAGAGACAGTGTTAAGTATGACTATCTATGAAAATATGATTTATGTATCGTAAATTCAACTATCCTTATTTAAGCTAATTATAAGCCGTATCGTTGTTTGTAAACCGTATCGAATCTTGGTGCTAACGCAGTAACGTCAATACATATATGTATTACCTTCCTTCTTTCTCTGTCTTTCTCGTGTTATGTATCTTTTGAGAGCATTCCACATCTTTTGATCGTTCTCATTTTGTTCGTCAGCAGTTGTTGAGGTAACTGCTGGCATTTTTGGAGGTGAGTTTTCCAGGACTGGTATTATGTTGAAAATGGTTGCTACTTCAAATCTATCAAGCGAATACTCTACGGTGAAGTATTCTTATAGGATAACTCTTTTAGATCTTAAAGTAATCAATTAATAAATTAACTTTTTGATAAATAAAAGCAAACCGCATTCCCGTGAAATATACTATAGCAAAACGCACAATATTTTTAATTTTACTTCAATAGTGATGTGCCCATAACGATTGTTAGAACACATATCGATTAAAATAAATATAGACGACAACATCAAAATATGTGCCTTTCCCTTTAAGAAATAAATGAATCGTATAAGTAGTAAATTTTAATTGTAATATTTCGCTTATTGCAAAGAAAATCGATACTTTTTAAATCCATTAATTCTTCTTCTTCTTTTTTCATTTTATATTTTAAATAGATAATCTAGTAGTGATCATCTATTTATATTGTAGAACAGTTTGAAGTGTTTTGTGTTATATTATTTGATAAATGAACATATAATTTTAATGTTTAGTAATTTTAAATGCACTTATAAATTGATTATAAGTTTTATATTAACAAAAAACATACGACAATCGATCCAACAAGATTGGCCGCATGACAATTATTGATAGTTTACTAAAATATGAATCTCGTTGTGTCAATTGTCAATTTGAAACAGTTATCGTGCCCCGCCCGCCCCGCGGTCCACTTTTCCCATATAGACCCGTAATAAAAATATATTTTTGTTTTCAATTTGGGATATTTTTACCAATACATATAATTTGTTACATTATTATTAATTTGGTTTTACGGTGCCATCGCTGCTGTCTACGCTCTAATCTATTTTAGTTATTTTATAGAATGTATATCTGTTGAAAATAATTATATTTTCCTTAACTTAACAATAATATTATATCCTATTGCAACTTCTTGAATACCTAAATAAAGAAATGGACGGACCATCAAGACCTAGAAAGAAGCTGAAAGTGGTAAGTTTCAAAGTCTTCTATAATGTTTATCACCAAAAACTAGGTCATTGGTCACTTCAAGTCAAATATACACCGCGTTTTGCTTTATTTTATTGTTACTTGTTTTTTTATGATAATAGTAATATGGGTAATTTAATTTTTTTTAGTTGAAAAATCATACTCTAATCATTACTTAACCTGTTTCACAAAGTAACTGATAATAATTGACTGTGTTATCCTATTTATACTGTTCCATACTAGATGAATCATTTAATTTATCAGATAATTTTTTTATAATATCTTTATATTGGGTTTTATCCAATATATAATCTGACTGGGGTATTGTGAAATTTGAGGCTTGTTTATGATATTTATTCCAACGTTATTGCCCTTTATTTGTAGATTATAGCCATACTTCATATAAGCTATATATCATAGATACTGAATAACATGATAACTATAAAAAATAAGTTTTTCATAATTTGCTCTAAACAGCTTTTGATAAAATGCTTAGGTTCCCAATCCTGATCTGAAGATTTATTATTGGTGCAACAAGAGACCATTTTGAAGCAGTTAAATCCTAAATAATTATTCCTCTGCCAATAATTACTTACAAATGTCAGGAATAAATAAATATGAATTACTTGAATACTCTTAAATAACAAATAACTAAGTAGTTAGTACTCACTCTGTCTTCGTTCAGGTTATTATTTAAAAATTCAAGATGTGACAAAATCAAAAGGTTTAAATGTATTTTTAAATTTAAATTAAAGTAACAATTATCCATTAAAATTTATTATAATGTGTATGAAATTTTTTGCTCAATCTATTTTTTTGCAAAGAATCCACAATATTTACTGTAATGAATATGTAGCAATTTAGCGAATATTAGTAAGATGAATCATATAATAATTGAATTGCTTTAATTTCAATTAAATTAATTACCTTGTTTATATTTATATACCATTTTGGTTTGATATACCCATTGTTCATATTTAATAACTTTTAAAAGAGCTTTAAAATATAAGAGTGCATTTATTCTAAATCATTGTATTTAACTAAAATGAAGGTTGTTTTTTAGACAAAAGGCTTAATTTTTAGTTAGTGATTCTCTGACTTAGACTCAAGTAACAAGCAATTCTTGTCATAATCTCATCAAGTGTCGACGTAATATCTAAAATGCCAAAACTCATTCTCACGTATTCGATAGTATGTTATCAATTGATTTTTTAAAAAACGCGCATTTATATATCATTTATCGTTAGGAGAGAGTTACTATAGAATATCAATTGGGTTAGTGTTGTTGTAAACAGCGCGTGAGTTGCCGCGGTCGTTGTTTTTTTTTTATTCGCGCACAATTAAGCGGGAAACGTAGACGTTTAGTTAAATTTAAATTATTCTATTTTTAAGTTTGCAATTTTAAAAATGAGTTTAGAAACGAGGAACAAGAAAGTCGCGGAGACGTTCGAGAAATATAATATTGGACAGTGGGGCAATGGGAGCCTCTCAAGATCGGTTCGTATTTTTTTTATTTGTAAAGAGGTAACACGAAAGAGTTTTTATTTTACCGATGACGCCTTAAATGAATGAGCCGACTTTCACTTGATGTTTGTTTCCTCTAGATTGTTACGAGCTTGTTTACTTTCATTTCGCTAGGAATTTGTTTGATTTTACGGTTTTTAAAGATATTTTAATATATCCCAAAACCTGCTTAAGTATCTATAGTTTCGCGTGTTTAGTACACATTCAAAATACCTACTTTAAACAATTCAAAACGCGATATATCAATAACTTCTATCAGAAACGTTTTCTTTACTTTGGAATCGGAAGAAAAAGTTAAGTTGTATGTTTTATCAGCCTGTTAATTAAATTTCATTTTTTTTTATAATTGTAAAATGTTCGATCGCTTAAATTTGAATGAATTATATGTAATATTACGATTTATACATCTCGCTACTGTTATGATCAAATATTATTTTGTTTTGTTTAAATTCTTTCTTGTTTATTCAATACTTAATACCTATATTTGGAATATAACTTATGGTGCAGTTCAAAATTAAAAAAAATCTTTCTTGATGCTGTACTTTAAATATTTAATTTCCAAATAATTACGCGGAGGGAATATTTATTTTAATATCAATAAACATAGCCATGGGTATTTTTCTCACGACATTTTAATAACATTCTCTCGAGAATTTTAAACACTAAAATTATTGTATATCATCCAAAGAATAATTTATTAAAAATTGTCTCTCTTTATATTGTTAGTTCCTTAAGTAAAAACCTGCAGTAACAATATTTCAATAAATAAATACAGTCTGTAGTTTATGCGAGTAGTATACATTTAAATACAACATGTTAACAGTTTAAAACGCGATATATATAAGTTAAATTTATTTGAAAATTATTTTAACTACGGTCCGACATTTTGGATACTTTGCAGCAGCCGTGGATCACGGGTCTCACGTCTACATTGCGTAACCCTTAAAGTGCCTTTTAAACCTTAATAGTTTTAGAAGATTTTTAACCAGAGACAAGTATTTTTAAATTTAATATTAAAACCTGTAAATGTAAAGGATGCAAATATATAAAACCATAAATGTTATTTTAATCGGGTAGTTGGCTAGAATATTTTAAACGTAACTAGTGCTTATTAATAACTAACTATGATGTTATTTAAATTCATAAATTCGTAGAGTAAAGATTGGGCCGCTGTACTAAAACTTGATACTTGATTGAAACATTCTGCGCGGTCTAGTTACAGCCCAGAATACTAGATTAGACCTTCATAAATCTCAAAGGACTCTAATCGTATCTTTGTATAATGATAGATGCGTCTGGTGCTTTAACTAGTAGTCTTTGTGTAAAATTATATTGCTCTGTGTTCGTTTTTTTGTTGTGGTTGTTTTTTTGTCCCCCTAAATAGGGGGACAGACATTCGAATTTTCACTTGATGAAAGATGAAATACCCAAGCTATATGACGTCTGAAGAATAAAATCCCTAAATTGATCCTTTTACTATCTGTCATTAGTGACCGGTGTGGAATTTCAGTATTTCTACCACATATATCACGTTTGTAATGTTTTTTAATGTTCACATCAGTTTTCCAATAATATTAATTAAAGATCGATTATAGATAGAAAAAAATTACAACAAGTGCAGCACTGGAAACTTTTTTCAATTTATAATCGTTTAAATAAAACACTTTAACGGTTTAAAACGCGATATATTAGTTAAACTTATTTGGAAATAATTTTTAGTTTAGTCTAACTAATATATCGCGTTTTAAACCGTTAAAGTGTTTTATCTAAATGTGTACTAAGTACTCGAAAACTATAGACAGTATTTAACTTATAGTCGATTTTTAATTTATATAGTGCCATCATGTGCAATAACATGTGAAAAATATTGAAGCCTTCAAATAGTAATATTCTCCAAATAAGTAAATATCTTTCAATTAACATAATATTATGACATTTGTGTTAGTAAAAACATATATTAAATGTTTGATTGCTTGATATGTATATAATATAATAACAATTGTGCAAATATTAACAAAGAAAAACTTAAGTACATGTTAAATAAGAATTAATGAATGAATTTTACATTTTACTATCCTTAACCAGTTCTCTAAGGCCATTATCCATCATTATCCATTTCCATCCCTTTTTAATCGCTGTTTAGTCTATGAAATCTGTGAAAAACTGTTTGGCCGTTTACAGGCGTAGATGACATGCATTTTTTTACTTTTTACTACTAGACTATTTGCTTTTCTCGTGACATTGTTTGCGTCTAAATCTGACTAACGCAACTATCGGCTTTAATTAGGGATATGTAAATATTGTTCTTATAAAATAAAATGTGATATAGTACAATGTTTATGCACTACATAATGACGTTGAGTTCTTTAATAAAACAAAGCCTTTGTCGTTCCTCAAGCTTAGCTTACAGATCGACTATGTAATAACTAAATCAAAATACGTTTTAGCTTGTGCGAAGTTGTTTTTTCATATTACTGGTTGAGGTCGGTTTTGTTAAAATGAATACTTTCATTAAACGTATTATTACGTAGATGAAGTATTACGCTTTATTATAGTGTAGAACGTACATAATATATTGCGATGATATGGAATTTTTCTCGACTAAAAGGTCTGATTATACCTTCGCACAGTACTCGTCAAGTACGCATACACACAGTATATTTCGATCAAGGCCCTTACATACTTACTTACGTGTGTAACTCAAATTATATGCATGCAATTTGATATACCTATGAATTGCCTAGTAAACAACGGTGTTTTAGTGACATTATTATCGGCACGTGTCGACTGCGTCTTTCTCTAATTTGTAGTAATATAAAGCTGAAGAGTATGTTTGGACGCGCTAATCTCAGGAACGACTGGTTCAAATTGAAGAATGTATTCTTTGTCGGATTTATCAAGGCTTTAGGCTATAAAACATTAAGATACGACCACTAGGAGCGAACAAACAGTGGGGAAATGTGGATGTGACGGGGGGAATGATTCATCTTAGAGGGCTTCCATTACGTGCGCTCAAAAAGTTTCAGATGCCCACAAAATGTAAAAAAAATTAATCTTCTTTACATACTTTATAAAATGTCCGCAGGTATATGTCTTTCTTTTAACATTAACTTGCATGAACCGTTTTTATGGGAGTCAAATTTCGTCTAATTACTTTATGTGGTAAAACAATGTTGGCTAGGTCAGCTAGTATGTATGTAATACTTATGTAAGAGAAGAAATAAAGATAATACGGAAGAAGATGATTTATGAAATTTAATATACATATTCAGGTCTGACAATTGGCCCCTTAGCTTACTATCTTACCCCCTTTAGCGATGAAGGTAGTTAGTTTGTACTAAAGGCTTTAGTTTTTTTATTGATGCATTAATAATACAACCCCATGAATTATCCCTTCTATAATAAAACCCTAATTGATAATAGCCATCTTAGTAATTCAAAAAAGGTTTTATCTCGCTTGATAACTGCGATAATTTTTTTCCTCACAAACTCTCTAAAAGTTTTTTTCGCTTCAATCTGTTTTTTACTCACTGCTGGACGCGTGGCTTCTTTCTCATTCCGTTATTTTTTTTTCAACCTCATGAGCTTACGGTATTTTGATACAAGGGACAAAAAAATACCAGAAATAGATGATGAATGATTATTTTTGCCGCAAGTGTGAAATCGAATGCAGGCGGAACGAATAGCTAACCGTGCAATTGAATTGCAACCAATTTTGCATTTGACTGAACAAGAAGTAACAGTGGTACAATTATGAATGACCTTTCAAAAAGGTCAGTTTTTATGGACCTTCCTCTTCCGTAACAATTTCGATCTAATTGAGACTGTTGTGTCCCTAATTTACCCACTTTAACGGTTAAATAGCACGTTGTATCTTTATTGCACTATCTTAAATTAAAAAAAAATTAAACACAGGTAGGAATCGAATCCACGACCACAAGCTATTTCAATTTATGTCATAAATCACATAGCACAATTGCTTTTAAGAGATCTCTTCCAGGCAAACCTTGATAGGAAAATGAAATAAATATTATAATGAATTTAACATTCAAGGCATAACAACAGATACATTTTTGTATCAGTTTCTTTGATCTATTTTATCTACAGATAAAACATGTGATTAGACGTTTATTCCCTATCCGATCGAAAGGCTGGTTTTCCCAAGACTTATACCAGCGTTATAACTGAGCCATGGGCGGAGCAGATTTTGATGAAATTTTATATGAATATAGCATGTTAGAGGGAAGGACCTTAAATCCAGTGGTGATCAACACAAATAAAATCACGATACCATGTTTAGTGTTTACGAGCTGCATGTTATACACTACATTGTTAACTATGTCAAATACCTTACAATAATGTTAGTTATGACAGGCAAGTTTACAATCCGTTATTATCTAGTAATTATTCTTGTGTTTACAACAAACAGTATTAACATACACGTAAATCGCATAGAATAGCGTAGTAGTAACGCATATATTAAAAAGAAGCTGATTATAGGAATTGTTACGGTTTAAAACTGCCCCGGTTCCTCGTGATGACGTTTTTTAAAGTATCGGAAACGTTACAGTTTAAAATTAACAGATATTTTCCGTTTTGGTTTTGTACTTGTTCCAAACAATTGAGCTACAGTATCGACCTGTCTTTGTTTCTATATATTTAAATATCTATACATCTAAATGCCTCATATCTTTATTATGATTCAATTGCATATTTTTATCTGATAATATTATCGTTTATCGTGACATAACTTATGTACGTGGATTACGCGTAATATTTATATATGTATACGTACATATAGGGATGCCCACATGGGTCACTGAATAAATATACATTTTTGCAAGAAAGAAGAATATTGAAGATCTATGAAAGTTCAGGAAAAGTTTGAAAACTTAATTTGGACATGTTATTGCACATGAAGGCCATAAATAAAAATTCGAAAATAAATTGGAATTTTTTCCCCCTCGGGCAGGCCCTCCCCCGTCTTTTTCCCCCCCCCGCTGTTCTACTAGAATTTCGACGCAATGAGCGAGTACACATTGGTAGAGCAATAAAACGGAACTTTAACGTGCGGTTTAAAACGCGATATATTAGTTAAACTTCAATTTAAAAATTTAATTGATTTTTAACTTAGTCTTACCGACGTATCTGTAATAAAGACCTAACAACTATAATATTTAAAATATAAGAATGAAATAAACGTAAGCCAGTTTTTCATAAATATTTAAACAATTCCTTTCGTTGAATGTTGAATAACTATCGAAAGTCGGGCTTAATGTAATGTAAAAATAGTGGGGACAATCTTAAATTACGTGACTATTAATAGCGACAAAAGTCGAATAACATCTTATTTATGTAAATTTAGAATCATATCTGATAAGTAACAATACATAATCTACACATAATAGTACACATTTAAATAAAACTCTTTCAAACTGTTCCAAACGCGAAATCCAACGTGACCCACGCCTGCTCAAAAGGGTCCGAAATGTCGGCTTATAGTTAAAGTAAATAAAAGATACGTTAACTAATATATTTCTTGTAAAATGGTTTAAAACGCTTAAAACATTGAAAAGTCATCATCATCAATAGCCACAGCCCCTTGTGGGCTTGCCCCTCGCCGCGTCGATCCCGTGCTTCCTGTTTTCCGTTGAACGCCTAAGATTTCCAGGTCCTTAGCAAACTCCATCCCACCAGCGGAACCTCGGTCTCACAGGGCTTTCATTTGCCACCTGGTTGCGAATTCAGCAAGGACCTTGGTGTTCTTTCATCCGCCATTCTGTATACATGTCCCACCCATTTAAGTCTGTTATTCATGGTTCTTACGTTCCATGTATATAGGCGAAACTCATTGTCCTGTATTTGTCCGGGTTGTTTAGAGGGGCTTGGTCCGGTTACCTTAACGTTTTGTTGCATAACCTGGTGTATTTCGACTGGGCTGATCGTTGGCCCTCCGCAGTCTAGGCACTTGGTCGGGCTGGCACCCTAAAGCTTGTGTTGGCCCTTTGTTTTCAGGTTTTGTCCTTGATGATCTGGTTTTATGGCGCCACATATTCGCCTTTTTCCGTGATTATTGAAAGTATTTTATTAAAAACATATGTAAAATTTTTATCAGTATCACGTGCCAGTAAGTTTAGCTAAAATTCTGTGTCAGTATAGCGTGTTGGTGTAACTTTGACCTTACGGCTATGTTATTTGGTTTTCCAGTACACCTATTACGTCGCTATCTTATTACTTGATAAGAAAAGTGTTTCAACCAGGAAATTTATTTTTTTCCGCTGTTGATAAAACTGTCTCTCCGTTAGTAATAACTAAATACGTACTGACATACAATAAAGTGTTTATTGGAAAAGCATTGACGAAACTGTATTTCACTAAGTTTATAGGTAATAAAAAGTATTTAAAACTGCCCTGGTTCTTCGTGATCACGTGTTAAAGTATCAGATACCGTTCGTACTATTCGGAATATGAATATATTCCTTCTTCTCGTCCTTAATTTTGTTATTTATCGAAAGCACTATTAAACGGATTTAGACTAAGAAAAAGTTTATCTGTCTCATTCTTTAATTCATTATTTACAAACTTTAACCAAGATTTATGTTAACAAAAAAGCAGCGTAACCATAATCTGTAGCTTACGCGAGTAATACACATTTAAATAAAACACTTTTAACAGTTTAAAATGCAGTATATTTCGTCCTGCCCGGGTCGTATTTTTTTAAATCCGTATAGATTATAAAACGTGAAATATATTAGTTAAACGTATTTACGAATTATTGTAACTAATGTATTTCGCATTTTAAACCGTTAGTGTTTTTTTAAATGTCTACTACTCGCGTAATCTACAGACGGTGTTTATACATTGCGGTTAAACTATCGATTTTTATTTACAGTGCGCACAAGTAGCAACTAACGTAGTCGAGCAAAAACACCAGGTGTCCAGAGCGAAGCGGAGTAAGGCTTTCGGCAGCAAAGCCTTCAGGGGCAGCACAGTATGGTTCACGGGGCTCAGCGGGGCAGGGAAAACAAGTATCGCGTTTGCGTTGGAGGCTTATCTCGTTTCTAAAGGTATATTTATTTATTTACTAACTCTTTATTGCAGCATACGCAAATTATATACAAATGTATGTTAAAAATAGTCGTAAAAATACAACTGTTTAAAAAAATATGATTACTAGTTATGGAGTGCAATTGGCAGCCTTATCGCTATAGAGCGATCTCTTCCAAGCAAGGGTTGTTTAAAAATAAAATAAGATATAATATATCATGATAACGTGCAGGTCGTGGAAAGGTTAGAAGAATATTCACAAACTAAAAGATTTTCAACGGGTCGGGGGTTCGATTTCATTACTAGATTACTAATATGATTCTAATCATTTTATAAATTTCGTGAAACATTTTTATGTGAAAATCGGATCGAATATTTAATTGGTGGTACGGATATCGAAATGTGACCCGACACAAACCATTGTTGACAGATGAAAAAGCCGTAAAGTTTAATAACGTTTCGATTTTAGTAAAATTTGCGAAACCCAAAGCTCGATAGCGCATTCTGTTAATATATTATGGTTGTTTATCCTTCATCTAGTATACCCCATGCCTATCTTTCGTAATCATAAAAAAGATCAGACTAATTTACTCACCATAGCTGTCTTGAATACATGTCGAAAAGGACATTTTTAATTGAGATGTTTTGTTTCATTTATAATTTTTCAAGAACATTACTTATCTGCAATTTGTGTATCTTATCCCGGTTTATGCGATAGACGTTTGAGATAAATCGCACTGTTATTATAAAGATTAAAGTAATGATATGAGTACATAAATGTTAGGTAAGACCAAGCGTTGGAGAGGATAAAAAAGGAGTTAAAATTTAAAGTTTTTATTCGATTTTTGAAATCGACTCTGGACATCGAAGCCACGACTACAGCTCCGTGGTGCTAATTCAATAATTGAGCTACCGTGTCCTACGCGTTCTTTAATTTAGATATTCACCTTTCGCAAAATGTAATTTCTACATTAACTATCGGGTTCGACTCTCGGCTGTGCGTTTTTCGTTTAAAAATTAAAATGTTTTAAACGCTTTAAAACATGACATATAGTCATGTTTTAACTTCTTTCAAAGTTGCATTTGTGTGATAAAGACAACATATAGCATTATTTAAATTCTTCCGGTTTTATTGTAGATGGTACACATAATTAGAAACTCCCTTGTGCAGTGGTACATTCGACTGCAGGTCAATAGGTCCCGAGTTCGAACCCTCACAGGAGTAGCATGGTGGGTGTAAGTTCTCAAAACCCTCTTGTATGCGAAAGGAGCTCAGCAGTGTAACAATAGGTGGTTTAAACAAGCGATATTATATGACACTCATTGTTGAGTATATATCTCCTGCAAATACGTTGCAACCAAGAATTATCTCAATATAAAGCCTAATAATCTCAAATGTTATCGTCTTCAAACCCTGAATCTCAAAAGTATCATTTACGCGTATTTTGGTCACTTCAACCTTTTAAGAACAAAAAGACAAGTTTTAATCCGGTATTTCTTTTTCTTTTTTATGTTTTTAGCCTTTTATGCTAACCTTAAAGTGGTTTAACCTGTTACCAATATGACATCCGGACCTGAATATATTTGAAAATAAGCTTACAACATCTAAACAAAGAAAGCTTACTTTAAAAAATGTACTTGCTAGATGATCGCCTATACGAGTATAAAACTTATATATTTTCGTTGTCTGTAGTTTACGAGTAATACGCGCAAATAAAACACATTTAACTGTTTTAATCGCGAAAAATATATGATAATTTACCTTTAATCCGAGTATGGCCCGCTTTGCAGCAGCAATGATCACGGGGGTGTCTCGGGTTCGAATTCCGGTAAAACAATAAATTATTTTAGTGAGGCATTGCACAGAAGTCTATAGTCTATAGTCATAAATATCGATTAGATGATGGAAACGCATCCACTAGTTTTTACAGTTCTTCATTCAATCGGGGAAAAATCTACTTACGTTAAAATGCGATGATTAATTAAAACACCCTTGCAGGTATTCCCGCGTACGGCCTGGACGGTGACAACGTCCGTACCGGTCTCAACAAGAACCTCGGCTTCAGCAAGGAAGATAGGGAAGAGAACATCAGAAGAGTAGCGGAAGTAGCCAAGCTGTTCGCCGATAGTGGAGTCGTGTGCCTTTGCAGTTTTGTTTCGCCTTTCGCAGAGGTAATGTCATCAACATCACCTACATCAAAAATGTGAAATATTTCAATATTTTTCACATGTTTTATCAAATGATAGTGGTATATACATTAAAAATATAAATATGATGCGATGTCTACCTATTTTGGCTTCACACATTCAATGATTTATAGACTGGAATCGAAACGAGGAGTCAAAATTCAATTTCTATATTTCTACCAATTTTCATATGTTATGTAAACGTTATATAATTGATAAATAATAAATTTCATTGATAAATATCATATTTGCATTAAATTTGATAGATTAATTTTATCTTTATATCACTAGACGGTACTGGGATATAAAGATTTTGTTATTCCGTCTTTGTTAATTGTAATCTCGATATTTGCTCTAGTAATCTAAACGATTACTTTTGTAGATTATCGTTTAGATAAAATTAATTGTTATTTATAATCTGCGCAATATATTAAACTTAGATATATTTAATTGCCAAAATTTAATTTTAAAATACAACATATTGTGGGGACCTAGGACTCCATCTTATCAGAGGTTTTTCCTTGTTTACTTTAAAGACAATCGCCGATATTAATTTCTCCTTGTAAAAATTTCGTTTGAACAAAATGGAGTTATGGGCCATGTCAAAATTATAGAAAGTTATAGAAACTACTTCGACTAAATTAAATTTTAATATAATAATAAGTTATTATTGCATAAGCGCGTGCGCAATGGGCGTCCAGTAGTGAAGGGAAATGACTAAATCAGGCAATTAAAACTTAAGTAGAACGTTGTACGGGTAAAGTATTATCTCAGAAATTGTACTCATATCTAATGTCAATAAACTTTTGCTGGCATTATGGTCTGGTTAAGAGTTTTTCTAGTAATATTATTTATGAATAAAATGTACGGTACATACTTAAGCAAGTGTTATTTTTGCTTATAAATATAAGTTTAGTATAATTTGCAGAGACATTGACTGAATAAAATCGCCTATCGGTTGCGAACGAAACATGAAATATTATTGCCTCGTGCACACGATAGCTTTCTTTAAATTAAAAATAAATTAAGAAGAAGGAGCTGTTGGGCTGTTCTTACTATCTGATGTACCGCGTAAAGTGTAAATACATTGTGCCCACAATGTAACCGAATATCTTGTCCGTCCCAATCATTTATAATGTAAAAAATGTTTATAAAATAAATGTAATATTAATCTATTAGATTAAATAAGAATACATATTTTTAGTGTCTTGTCGCGTTTTCGCAGCACACGCAACGAAAGCTTTCTAAGAGTAGATTAAAAATTATCCACGTTTTTTTTATATTTTCCACTGTTTCTATTGGCGGCAGCCCGATGTTATTAGCCCTACTAGATAAATGCTCTAACTAACACAAAAACAATTGTTTAAATCCTGAATCAGTAGTTCCTGAGATTAGCGCGTTCAAACAAACTATTCAGCTTTATAATATTAGTATGGACTAACGATTTGTTTATAGCCAAACTAATGTTATCTCTTCAATTCACTTTTCAGGACAGAGAGATAGCGCGCCGCATCCACACGGATTCTGGTCTACCCTTCTTTGAAGTTTTTATTGACACACCGCTAGAAGTTTGCGAACAGCGCGATGTCAAAGGTCTCTACAAGAAGGCTAGAGAGGGACAGATTAAGGTTTGTAAAGTGAATTATCCTTGCATAAAAGAGTCAAAGATTTAAAATTTGCTCTTAGAGCAACAGCACGGAACGCTGACGCTGCCGGTTCAAGTTCTGCCCGAGTCGATAATTTTTTTAATTTTTTCGATTTTTAAATTATATAGTGCCTTCATGTGCAATAACATGTAAAAATAAATAAAGTTTTCAAGAGACAGAGATGTTTAAATACGAATAGATAGTAATAAAATACATGTTTATAGAATTTTGGAGTCGTAAAATTAAAAAAAAAGTTAGGCCCGTTTTCCCCGTGGGGCATGGGGCGAAAAAAATTGCTGTGTCTGTTTTCTTTACAGCTCTGCACGAAAGAATTATTTTCACAGGATTCGAACACAGGACCGCACTTCTAATTTTTAACGCTAATTCCATTATTACAATATATCTTTTATACTAGTTTTAAACATCATAAGCACGGATATTCTTATCTTTTTCTTTAATGAGTTACTTATTGCCTTATATGTTACGTATGATGGTGTGTTTAATGTTTTTTAAATAACTTTAAGGGGTCTTCAACCTTGTACTTCTTAAGCGACCTGAAACGTAATTACGTATTATTTCTTTGTTTTAAAATTTTTTACAAAAGTTTTAAAACTCATAAAAAAATGAAATAAAAATATCAATTAATAGCAATTAAATTAACACAACACTAGTTTTTACTAATACTTAAAACCTATTCAATTCCCATTGATGTCTTACAAATTTGTAAAAAAAATATGGATTCAGCAATTTGTAAGCCTTATGATCCGATCTTAAAATAAGTAAATATACCATTTTATTCACAGGGATTCACAGGTATCACCCAAGAGTATGAAAGACCAGATCAGCCAGAATTGGTCATCGAGACAGTTGGTCGCTCTATAGAAGAGTCTACCATGGAAGTTATTAAACTTCTCGAATCACAGGTCGGTTTTCACTACTATACTACACTCTATAGAAGTATATTTATAAGGTTAAGTTATTGCTTTGAACGATGTTTGGCAGGATAAAAGAGGTTCCTATTTTAAAGTCAAAAACTACATACATTTAACGCTGCTAGAAGCATAGTGCCCTAATTACATTAACCATGATTTTCCATAAGAAAAAAAAATACGCAATTCATTTAGGGGAAAATGAAATTTACTACTGTGTAAGAATTATGTTAACAATTTTCGGTCACTGTGCTCTTGTAGATTAACATTTTTAGACTAAAAAAATATAAATTACCTTCTCAAGTCATAAAATTGCAGTTATGCTACTCTGCCTTTAGCGGCCACATTTCATATTCAAACCGTTTTATAGATATGTAATATTACTGTTAGCATATTTTATTAAATTCAATCTACAACTGCGTATTTCTTACATTTTATTAACCCTGATGTTATTTGATTGGGTGTTCTTTTAATTAAAAATGTGTTTATCATTTCATTTATATTTAACAGACAAGACCTTATCGGCAGGAGTTATCTTCTAATTATTATAAATACAAAGTAATTTCTATACTTTAATATTATTTGTATACTAAGATATTAATAAGTTTTGTATTTTTAGGGTATTATACCCCACTATGAAAGTGTGTCTGGTGCGAACGAATTATTTATATATGGCAATCGTCTCAGCTGTGCCATCGAAGAAGCAACAAGATTACCACAGATACATTTAACCAAACTAGACTTGCAGTGGGTACAAGTACGTATATAGAAGTAGTACTACTAATATATTTTTATCGGCTGTAAAAAGAGACGCAGTCGCTAAATTAGTAGATGGAGTCTGTCATAAGTTTTTAAGAGTACGAATTTTACTTGAAAATCTTTTGGCAGTCTAGCTTTAAAAAAAAAACTTTAGAAAAAAAACACGCGCAAAATTTTAATAGACCTTGTTAAGTGAAACAAACCTGCATTCAAACATTATTTAAATAAAAAAAAAGTATTTGTATCAAAAATAATTCTTCCAATAGATCCTGAAGTTTCAAAGATTATTACTACCATAAAGTATTGTATTTTTAGCTTATTATATGAATGTTAATGGGTAATATGTTTTAGGTACTCTCCGAAGGCTGGGCATATCCCTTAAAAGGATTTATGAGAGAAACGGAATATTTACAAGTGAGTGTATTTATTATTGTGTCAAAGGAGGATGTCAAACAAGTTAACCTTCACTTAATGGGAGATCTCTTACACTTTAACGACGCTGTCCACCTCTTTAGCTTCGGATTCCACAGACTGAAACTAAATCGAACTTCACGACTTTTTATCTGTGGAGGGTGGTTCCTACTATTTCTTTGCCCGTCGACTCGTTTCGTACATAATTGTTTAATCAATAGACTTATTTATAGGATTGGTATTATATTTAAATTCTTACATAAGGAAAGTGATACTTTCCATTTGCATATTTATTATAAATTATCATTGGAACCGGTTTTGATAATACTTGAAAGACTAGACATTTTACATTACGATGGATGACATAACTTTTAAACTCAATTTATTTGTTTTAACTGTTAGAGTTCTTCCTTCTAAAGGCATTCATAGTAGGCAGGTGACTAATACCTTTTTTCTCTAAGTTTCTGCCGTTTTCTTTACTTCGACCGCTCATTTGACTTATATGAAGACTGAAGGATCAATTTTCAATTGGAATATACTTATGTCCGCTTAAAAGTTAAAAATAGCACTAGTGGTCGTGTTCCACTATCACGTCACATATCTTTCTGTATTAATCTTTCGTATTTCTATTCTAGTCACTCCACTCCAATTGTCTCACTCTACCCGATGGTACGATCGTCAACCAATCTGTGCCGGTGGTGTTGCCAGTTAAGACTGATGATAAGGAGCGTTTGACTGGTTCCACTGCGATCGCACTCGTGTATGAAGGCAAGACGGTCGCTATTTTGAGGGAACCGGAATTCTACCCTCACAGGAAACAAGAGAGATGTTCAAGGCAGTTTGGCATCTTTCACACTGGTCATCCTTATATTCAGGTATGAAGGAATAAAACACTATCTACGCACTTTTGTTTTTGTAAGAACAAGTATTCTATTTAAAAAAAAGTATTCTAAGGGTGATATCTACACCCTTATGATATACATTGGTCCTGTCTTCTGTACAATATATACTAGACAATACACAGTATAAATATAATTATATAGCCTTATGAGTGCGTTAAAACGATCTTTGCATCAATGTTTCTGATAAAATCTGCCACCATATGGTTTCCCCTCCAAAATAAATTCTGCAAAAATTCAAATAAGCTTTATATCGCTAAGCGTTATTTACCAGCTAAAGCTGAAAAACGTGGACCTATGTCTGAAAATAAACTTCATCTCTTTTTTTCAATACAATAAATGTGAATATTATAGAATTAAAATTCCAAATTCCATTGTGTGTGTGACGTGTGAGACACGTTAGCTCAATGTGTTAGAGCAATACCACGAAACGCTGTTGTGTATAGCGATTCAAGTCCCACCTGTCTTAATGATTCTTCATTATATGGAGTACTAGAGCTTTTTTTAGAAACATATCTCGGTTTCAAATTCTTTAATTTGTGACAGATGATTGAAGAGTCTGGCGACTGGCTGGTTGGTGGAGCTCTGGAGGTGTTTGAGAGGATCTGCTGGAACGACGGATTAGACGCGTTCCGTCTAACTCCAAACGAACTTAAAGAAAAATTTGATGATCTGGGAGCTGACGCTGTCTTCGCATTCCAGGTAATTATATTTTTCATAGACATGAAACAAACAAACAAGAAACACATGTGTAATTACATATCAATTTTGTTCTCATCTTAACAAGTCTCCACTAGTGTCTTCAAAATATAATTAGTGTCCCGCTACATACAGTGTTTATGGTAAACAACTGCTTCTTTTTCTTGCATACTCATAATATTTTATTTTTAGTTACGTAACCCTATCCACAATGGTCACGCATTGTTGATGCAAGACACGCAACGTCAACTGACCGAGAGGGGATATAAGAAGCCGGTTTTACTTCTTCATCCATTAGGTAAAGTAATTTGTACTGCTTATGACTATGATCCTTTGAGCCGGACAAAAAATTATTACCTACACATCTATTATTGGTATTTATCAGACAGGTTAATTCTTAGTTATCTTACGTAGTACATGTCTAAGAGGCATTTCTATGTCCCTTTCAAATATGATCTTTTATTTCAAGATTTATTTTTTTAGAACAGGAATTCTCTTTTTTTTGTCACGTTTAACCGAAATTCGAACCGAAGACCTCCACCAGTCATCGCTATAGTGTAGTTAAGCAAGAACTGATATGTGTTAAGTAATTTAGTAATAGTATCCCTTATTGTAATATATTTGCAGGTGGCTGGACGAAGGATGATGATGTACCGCTAGAAGTGAGAATAAACCAGCACAAGGCTGTGCTGAATGAAGGAGTATTGGATCCGAATTCGACTGTGCTGGCCATTTTCCCTTCACCCATGATGTACGCTGGACCCACTGAGGTACGAGTTCACACTAGTATAACGTCCTTCGAGCTCGCGCATGCGCAATGTGTTACTGCTGTTGTCTGACAAATATAAATAATACAAAAATATTACCATATTATAATAAGAAAGTACTTTAAGAGATAAGAGGTGTAACATTTAGTCAAGGATACTCTAAATAATTTACTAATAAATAATTCATTATTTAAATAAAACACTTTGACGGTTTTAAACGCATAATAACTTTGCTAATATTAGTTAACTTCTTTTTATAAGATAATATATATTCATATATATATAGATATATATATATATATATATATATATATATATATATATATATTTTATGAAAATGTATGTAATATGTTTGTTTTATAGGTGCAATGGCACGCCAAGTGCCGTATGAATGCGGGGGCGAACCACTACATTGTGGGCCGTGACCCGGCCGGGTTGCCCCATCCGGATGGAAGTGGCGACCTTTATGACGCGAGACATGGCGGTATGGTACTCAAAATGGCGCCCGGCTTGAACGACCTTGAGGTACTGTCCTACAAATAAAAGAAAGTATAAATTAACCTAAAACCTAAAAATCCCACAAACTCAAAAATAAACCAGATAATTTTTAGTTATTAATAATTAATTTGTTTTGAATGGTTTCATTCTTTCTAGATTATTCCATTCCGTGTGGCTGCGTATGATGCATCTGCTGGTAAGATGGCCTTCTTCGATCCTACAAGAAAAGAAGATTTTGACTTCATTTCCGGAACTAGAATGAGAGGTATTTTATGGAATTTACTTATGAATACCTACTTGAAGCCTAAAAGTTAAAAAACATAGCTGTATTAAAATTGACCTTAACAAAATTTCTTGTACCTGTAAAATACTTTATATACCCCCCCCCCCTTTCAAAAACTTTACCATAAAGCTGAAAAAAATTGTTCACTAAAGATAAAAAATAGACTATAGACTAGACTTTCGGTCAGGGTTCTATATTCGATAACAATTGAAATGTTGTGTGGCATACAAAGTTGAGTGATTATTTTGTTCTATTTATAGGTCTAGCCAGAACAGGCAAGGAACCACCAAAAGGCTTCATGGCACCATCTGCTTGGAAAATCCTCTCAGAGTACTACCAGTCACTCAAAGCGAAGATGGACACAAACTGAACACGAATATACAAATTAATAAGGCACAAATCTTTCTATTTATTAAAGGAAATAATTTTATTTCGTGCAATCTTCCTTCGCTACTGTGACATTCCTTCGTTTATTTCTCTATTTTACACATTCCAGTGTATTGTGTTTTTTATTTTATTTTTACAAATGAAATTTAAATTGTAGAGGTAAAGGACATTGTTAAGTTGTAAGAGATTTTAAAATATCAATATGTTCAATGAGAGTTATAATGATGTTATGGTGCTTTTAAATCTATAGATTTATTAATTATACAAATAAAGTGATATATAGATATTTTTGTTTTATTTTTATTTCGAATATTAGCAAAAATTGTAAAGTAGCAACTCAGTTGCCATTTTATATGTTAGACTAGATTCTAGATTGGCCAAATCAGAACTTACGCATGTAAATTACACTTTAACAACTGCAAAATTATCAATCCAAATTTAAAATATTTAATTAGAATTTAATAGAAGATTAGTAAGAACTAGTAGTAACTGTGGTGTTTGTGACGACTTTGTAATTGTAAAATCTAAACGTCATAAATAAGAAGAGGTGATCTAGAACTACCATGTTATAGGAACAAAAACCGGCGCGGTGTGGGCTGTACCATTATTGCAGGTCCAAAGCCTAGATTACTATTTTTTGTTGAGGATAAGTAGTCCACATTATTAACATTAACTTAAGTTTTCCTTTCTTCGTGTTAATTGTCAAAATCTTTGCGCCTCCCAAAAACTATTTGATGCAGTAACAAAATTGTATGATCCTGTCGACCTTTATTTCTTACTAGCTGTGCCCGCGACTTTGTCCGCGTGTAATAGTGACTTGGGGTAGAATTTTGATCTATTTAGGCTGTTTATTAATTTATGTAAGGGCGCATTTAAGGCAGCCAATCTATGTCGTAAGTGCTAGTTTGCCGCAACACTCTCACCTCATATCACTTCTACTCTAACTCCAACTCTCATTCCTACACTCCCTCCCAAAAAGCCAAAGAAGAAATTTTCATTGTTCTAGCTACAAAAACCACGAATTTCCATACAAACTTTTATCCCCTTTCTCACCCCCTCTTAACCTTTTTTGGCATTAAAAAGTAGCCTATGTACTTTCTCAGTCTTTAAAATATCTGCACCATATTTCATTTAAATCAGTTCAGTAGGTTCGGAGTTAAAGTCGGACAGACAGACAGAGTGGCATTTATAATATTAGTATAGATTGATGTTCTTACTCAAAGTTAGCTATGGATGTCTAAGTAACATTAAGCGAGTCAAGCTGCTTTAGGCGAGAATTCAATGGACGGTACTGAGTAGCGTAAAAATGGCATACAGTCCTACACCTATAAAGACTAGGTAACGTTTGTAGATAATATTCAAGGTACTATCAATTACTAGAATATACAAATTCCTTAATACTCCGTCATGATGTACGTATACATTTATCACTTCTGGAACTGGCATAAATCCATCTGATTATTTATCAACCAAAATTACTTAATGAACGTTGATAACAGCGTGACCTTTATCATTTTAGCATTTACTTATCACCGTAGTTTATTTACGCGATAATATGCTTTCCGTTAAAACAATAGAGCGTAATTTTAATTAATCGAGTAACTTATTTGCGATACATTGTTCAGTTTGTTGGAATTTATTCTAGCGTGTGGCCGCGAAATGGCTGTCAGATTGTGTTTAAAACGGTTAATTAATAGTAATAATAGACGATGCATGTCCTACTATCCTATAGACGAACATATATTTGGTTTAAGCGATGAACAACAACAGGTATGTAAGTTGCGATATTAAGCACAAGGTGTTGATATTATTTATCGAATGTAGCATTGAATGCATTTAAATAAACAATTGGTCTCTACGGGCTATAGATATTAATTTTAGGTAGTTACATTGAACATATTAATATTACATCACATAAACGACTTTTATATATAAACAACAATTTATGTTATACCAACATTTATTATCAAGTTTTTAACGCCTTCGTGACTCCATGGTTAAATACGTTGCTTAGCACTAAGCATGAGACATCCTGAGTTCGAATTTCGGGGACCGCAGAAGTTTGGTCGACTGTAGGACTAAAAAAATTGAACGAACGTTTTAATATTTGCTTCAGTCGTGCTCTAAATACCGTTTATTAAGTTTTTATATACAAACAAGTAAATTGTTTTTATCATTTAAATTTACATGCCACTTGAACCGTAGTAATAATTTCAGCTCCGAAAAATGGTATTTGACTTCGCGCAAAAAGAGTTAGCGCCAAAAGCAAGTGAAATTGATAGGGAAAACAATTTCAAAGAGTTAAGAGACTTCTGGAAGAAACTTGGAAATCTAGGTTTACTTGGTAAGTACAGATCCGTAACTACGAAAATGATTTTTACTATTACGATAGAACGCATAAAATATTTCTAAAAAATATTTGGAAGTAGGAGGCGAAGTACATTTTTATCGATATTAAGTAAGTAAAAACCCAGGGTTTTCATATTATAGTCATGGATAAACATTAGTTAAAGATTGACTTATTGATTTGGTTTGCTTTATAAATTGTTAAAGCGTTTATTTAGGATTTCATTTTTTATTTGTTAACAGGAATCACAGCAAATCCTGATTATGGGGGGACTGGGGGTAAATATTCTGACCACTGTGTAATTATGGAGGAACTATCGAGGTGAGATGCATAACACAAAAACAATAAAATTTTAAATAAAAAACTCAACAACAATAGGATACCGTGAGTCCTGACTGGCTAGTCTCTTCCTACAAAATGTTCTCTCTAATAAAATATTACAAGAACCATAGACAACAATTTAGTAATTAAAGAATTAATATATATAACTATATAAAATGTTTTCTGCCTAACTACTTATTAAATCTTTAGAACTACACAAGTAGCAAAGGCACTTTAAATTTACTTGACTTTTACATGGTCAATTGATTAGAGCACAGAACGCTGTAGATGCCGGTTCAAATCCTGCCCATGTCATAGCCTAGGTAGCTTTCCTTACACTTCTGTGAACCTACTTCGCATGAGAAGCATGATGCATAAAGCAAATGAAGTTTCAATCTAGTTATGTAACAGGATGTTGTATTGTATTCAGAAACCTCATTTGATTTTAACTTCTATTCTAGGGCAAGCGGTGGTATCGCCTTATCATACGGAGCACATTCAAATCTTTGTGTTAATCAAATAAACAGAAATGGAACACACGAACAGAAGAGCAAGTACTTGCCAAAAGTAAGAGCTATCAACTAAGAACTAACACAATTTTAGAGGACAGTTAAGCATTGGGTCTACTTGATGGAAGGTGGAATTCCTGTGCTGTCGACCTAATTTGCCTATTATGACCGTTTATAGACGGTGGTTCGTGACCACGACAGACTTTATGACATTCCTACTAATATTCCCATGTCCGCACGAAAAAGCAACGTGTTTTAGTATATTATAAATTTATTAGAAACATGTTAGACCTGGTGGGGATCGATACCAACACCCGTTGATTATTATTAGCCACACATGCTACCATTAGACCAACGAGCTCGCCAAACTCATCACTGTCTTTCTTGTATAGGTGGCGATAACGAGATAAAAGAATTGACTAAAACCCTGTAAAGCAGCAGTAGTTTTATGGAGACATGGATTTTTATCCACAACTATGTTGTTATGTATAAACCAAACTATAAAAAAGGTTTACTCGATGGTAGATAAAAACTTTTATCTGGGATCTAAATAAGCACATCTTATTTCACCTATTGTTGCTTTGGACCTTCAAATATTTTCTTTTCAGTTATGTTCCGGTGAGTACATGGGTGCTCTAGCAATGTCAGAACCTGGTGCTGGTAGTGACGTGGTATCCATGAAGTTGCGAGCAGAGAAAAAAGGCGACTACTACATTCTAAACGGCAGCAAATTCTGGATAACGAATGGACCTGATGCTGATGTTTTAGTAGTAAGTCGTGGGATTGTGTGAATATAGGACTGTGTAAGAAGAATCTTTCGTCCCTCTTAACTTGACGTTTAGTCTTAGGTTGCCTAAGTTGGGTACCTGAAGGATGGTCTATAGTTTACTCGAGTAGTACCCATAACATGAAACATGAAGTATACTTAACTTATTCTTTAGTTTAGTACCCCCGTAACCATAGCTTCTTCAAAGCATCCAAAACTTTATTTAAGAAGTAATTTAAAGTTAATTAACATGCTTCGCGTTTTAAGCTGTTTCAAAACTTTTATTTTAATGCCTTTAATTATTAGATTACACAAAGAGAGATTTTGAGATACATTGCGTGGTATAAAATATCCACCTATTCTTGCAAATAGATAAGTAATTTCATTTTTTAAGGTATATGCTAAAACAGACGTAAATACGAAGCCACAGCATGGAATAACTGCATTTCTAATCGAGAAGGATTTCCCTGGATTCTCGACAGCACAGAAGTTAGATAAACTTGGCATGCGAGGATCGAATACTGGCGAGCTGGTCTTCGAAGATTGTAAGGTTTGTTAAGATTATTGATGTTTCTTAATAGCTTTATTAAAAGTATTGGTTTTTAGTACGACTTCATACTTTCTAAAACCTAGTATTGTTAATTGCTCGAATTTTCTTGTAGTTCTTAAGATTTTGTTGTCTTTCTTGGTATTTTGCTTTAGTCTTTATGTAGGTACTTAGTTCAGCGAAGATGATGGTCTAGCTCTGTACCATATAATGTGTATGCAGTCCTCAACCTACAACATTGTGGGTAGTTTAAGGTCTTATATATAATAATTAAAGCTACTCTGTAAAAATAATTAATAATATCCAATTTTGCTTTTCACAGGTGCCAGCTGAAAATATTCTAGGCGAATTGAACAAAGGTGTTTACGTACTCATGTCAGGTCTGGACCTAGAGCGACTGGTATTAGCTGGTGGGCCAGTAGGCTTGATGCAGGCGGCTGTTGACACTGCCTTTCACTATGCACACACAAGAAAGCAATTTGGGAAAAATATTGGGGAGTTTCAGTTGCTACAGGTTAGTGTAATCGTGCTGGTTACATATATCTAGAGGATTTATGTCTTGCCAGCTGTGCCCGCGACACATATGCAATAGTTTTATTTGGGCATCATCCTTCGACCTCAGATATGAAAACATTTTTCCGTTTTTTCCACATTTTTCTTCACTCCTATTGGTCTGATCCTCGATAAGTGGTCCAATCAATACAAGATAATTTTTCAATTCGAACCAGTAGTTCATGAGATTAGAGCGCTCATACAAACTCTTCAGCTTTATAATATTAGTATAGATATTTTGTAGATATGTTATTAACCAAGTTTTTTAAATTCCAGGGCAAAATGGCAGATATGTATACTACCTTGAGCGCGACTCGATGCTATCTCTACAACGTCGCGAAGGCCTGTGATGAAGGTCACGTGAATAGCAAAGACTGCGCAGGAGTCATTCTTTATAGTGCTGAAAAAGCGACACAAATCGCTTTGGATGCTATACAAATTTTAGGTAACTATATTATATACACTGATCTTGCAAGGGCTTATAGAGAAAGCTACGAGTTAAAGTTTTTTTAAGTATATCACTGATTTACCACAGTCGTCATGAAAATCTGCTTTGCCTCTTGGACTGCTTTAGTCTATTATTGTCTGCTTAGTCTTAGCTTAGTCGTTAACGTTGCCAAGCAATGTTTTAAATTTAAGCATATTTTTAAACAGTGATAATCATTAAAAATATGTTTTTTTAAATTGTATATTTGTTTTTGTATGTATGTAAACAGAATGCTGACCTGAACTTGTAAATAAAATTTACCAGTAAAACTGGTTTACCTTTATATTGTACAAAAACATACTCCAATGCCTTTGAAAAGTAGTATTGTCTATATTATATTTTTGTAGGTGGTAATGGTTATATTAACGACTACCCAACTGGCAGAATACTGAGAGATGCAAAATTGTACGAAATCGGCGCTGGCACATCTGAAATACGAAGAATGCTTATTGGTAGAGCTTTAAATACTGAATATAAATAAACTATTTTACGACACAAAAACAGTTTATTGAATGGTTTTATTTTATTTTTTGTTAACAAATAGTACATATTTTATTATTATTGATGACTAGTTAATGTAAAACAATTTGGAATTTTCAAGTCCACCAAAAGCTGACTGAAAAACTAATTGACAGTGATTCTACAAAATGCCACCATTTTGGTGGTATGTACAACATTTGACCAGGTTTCAGTACACAATAATAGGGTTTAGCGCTGGTATAGTTAGGAAATTCTCCTAACTTAGGATTCCTTGGGTCTACTCTTGCTGTATTATCAAGAAGGTCACTTTCATGTGGGTATAGGTATTCAGAGTCACTTGGTGAAAATAAATAGATCCTTTTCTCACCAACAACTTGAGTAAGCAAGTTTTTAGTAGGATCGTGATGCAACGGCGACACAGTCCCTTTCGGACCAAACCACGCCATGACATTTACTGGCTCGTCTGTTTCAGAAAAGCTGCAATATTCTGGCTCAATTATATCTTTTTTCAGCTCGGGTATTTGCTCGAACAGTGCGTACTGCGCGAGGTACCCTTTTGGACCATTATCCTGATAGATGTATGTTTTAATGAAGTCCTTCATTAAAATCAACTTCTGTGTCCAGTCTGGATCAGTATACTCTCGCCCTATTTCTATTGGAACAGTTCTTAGCCCAGCAAGTTTAATGAAATAGTTACTGTCTTTCCATTTAGATAGAGCAGGCCAATGGTCTATACAATTTTCTAATATAACTGGTCTCTTCTGTAGTATAACATTTTTATAAAAATACTCCATACTTGGACATGTGATTACATCTATATCAATAACTCCAGAAGGCTTTTCTATATGAACACATTCAATTTGAGAATCTATTTTATTATCTGTTTCGTAAGTACAATTTTGGCTTGTTACAGAGGTTAAAATACTGCCACATTTTTGTAACAATTCTGGTTCACTAGAGATTGGACATCCGAACATAATACCAAAGTCAATAGCCCCATACACCTCCTTTATAACACTATCTGTTAAATCAGACTGCTGTACCAAAATTGCCAATACTTTCAAATAAGATGCTATAGTTATAGTCTTCCTCAAAAATAACCTAACATCCTTCCAGTTTCCTATATTTATTTGTTCATGCATGTAGTCTAGTACTGCTTGTATTTTCATAAAAGAATGTTTGGACTTCATTAAAGTTGTATCGCTTATAAACGTCTTGAGTACTGATAGACTCACTTTGTCTAAATCATTTAATTGTTCTATCGTAGTCTCTACTTGTGGCTTAAAAGCTTTTAACTTTTCACAAATCTCTGCAGTGGACATGGTGGGCCAAGAGCTTAGGGTGGATTACAGATATATCATAAAATGAACAGCCACATTTTTAGGCTATTAAGATTCTAAAAAAAATCACACCAAACCTATTATATAAAGTTCTATTGACTATTATACAATACTCAAATAAATAATGATTTAGGCATATTTGTATGCAGGGACGTATTTTAAGTTGTACTCCGTTCCTTAACCTTTATTTGTAAACATTAAAAACTCTTATAATACAACAGACAATAGAACGAACTAATTGTCAGATGTCAAGCTGTCACAATCAAATATAAATAACTTCGGCAAAAAATACTTGCTTTTGTGTAAGCTAATATATGAATATTAAGGATATAATGACTTTTTCTTAAGTTATATATGTTTTTAAAGTAAATTAACTTATGTTAAAATTATTAATTAAAACTGACAGTTTACTTTGCGGTGACAAATATTTCACACGACTCTAGGGTTACCTTGACCTTTGATTGTCTATTGCAAATCACATGACTTCAAGTACCACGTGACCACCAACCCGTTACCTGTCAGCGAATCAGCTGTCAAGTGTCAACGGTGATTTGAGAGAAATTTTTATTTACAGTGTTTTGTATATTGTTTGGTGAAATTACTTTAAATCCCCAAAGTGTATTCATATTTATTTACACCGCATCATGTCGAGGGATAAGATTTTAAATAGAATCGGCGTAAAACGTTGCGTGTGACGTGATGGCCTTATTAGAAAAGATCTTTGTTACAAAATATAGAAAACACGGTAGCGATAGCAACTTTCCAAAGAGGTAAGTGGAAGTAGGGAACCTCAGCGAAATGGCGCACTATTTATTAGGTATATTCTGTCGTTATATTTGGGGGGTGACGCACTCGAGTGTCAGTGCATTGCCGTCACAAGTTTTTGTAACTGGCTCAGTCTAATGATCGTAAAAGACACAAAACATGTGATAAGCGGTTGGTGGGGGGAGCCTGATCACGTCACAGCGGAAGAGGGACGGGCCGTCTCAATCAATGTTTACTTATTATTTTACACGCGAGCCAGTACGCAAGCGGTTAGCACATTCCACGGCGTTGACAACGCGCCACTGAAGTGCATTTATAGTGAAACCCCTTCCGTTGCATTTCTTGTATGTGTATCTAAGTTATGAACATCTGTGATATTATTGTAAGCGATGTAAGATGAAATTGAGGTAATTTGATTGAAATTAGAATGAATTTACCCTTATAATTACTGTAATCACAAAACAATATAGTGGCTATGTATCAAAAAAGTCTTTTCACAAAATTTACTGGATTTGTCAAAGTTTCACAGTTTCAAAGATACAATATTTAGTTTCAAACATGTCAACAAAGAACTCAAATGTAAATGTGCAAAACACATGACATGTGCAAGAGAAAGTTTGAAGGCTTAAAATGTCTTATTGTACAATGCAGAACCTAATTTCTTTCACTACAGACATTTACAATTGATTTTGTTTTTGAAGTGTAAATTTAATGAAATAGACTGCCTCACTGATGCTGTTAATTTAATTTTATTACTTTTACGGAATATAATTTTGTAAGTTAAATTTTTAACAGTTAATTTTTGCTAATGAATATTAGACTTCTTTTTAACAGTGTTTAAATTAAAAATAAATGTTTAATTTAAAATGAGTAGTTTTATATGTATGTTTATTATAATGGGTTTCTATTTAAAGTGTTTGGTGTGAAAAATAAACTATACACACAACAACTACAATGTCACAATTAAAAAAATTATAAATGAAGATTAGAATTTTTACTAAAAGTGAATTTATTGCCCATCATAAACATTTTAAATGTTGATAATACATACACACATAATTTTATGAATGATAAAGTTTGAATATTATTTATTACAGTGTACATGATGCACACAAAATAGCCTTTAAAAGAACAAATGTTATTAGGAGTACTACATAGAACATAGGAAGTAATTGTGTAGTTTACCACTTTTAGATACTGCCTTCTTATAATTATATTAGACAATAATAGTAAGTAGAGCTCTCAAATTGGAAGTAAAGTAAACTATTTTCCCCCTTAGATCCTGTGAAGAAGCCTTAGAGCAAGTGCGTTTATTATTGTACAAAGAGTGTGATAAAAGAGGAAGAAAGGTTCTTTTTGATTCGTCAACAATAGAAAAATTGCCAGCAAATAAACATGATAAACCCCAGTCTAATAATGTACCATGTATCGTGGAGGTGGTGGACGGATTCTCTTATTTGGTAAGTTCATTAAAATAAGAAATCAAACATAGAACGTACATGCACGACGAATTAACTGTATCCCTAACTGTGTAGATTTAGTTTGGAAATGTATTAAAGAAACCCCTGTGACCACGACTGTTGCAAAGCATCCAAAACGTACGGCCGTAATAACAATAGTTAATTTTTTTAAATTCATTTATTACGGCCGGACGTTTTGGCTGCTTTGCACCAGTATTTTATTTCGCGTTTTAAACCGTTGTAATTTTCAACGTAAGCTCTCACATACATTGCTTAACTATAGACAATGGTCAATGCTTAACTATAGACAAAGAGAAACATATAAGTGTTTGTAATTTTTAATTAAAGTGGGCTGAAAATAATTCAAGAGTTTATTATAAAACTTCTCGCGCCATCTTCTCGCGTCTTCATTCTCGTTATATTTGTTACGAGTTGTATTACGAGAGTTTGACAAGTGTTTGAAGGGCACATAAATGTATCTGAAATAAAACAGTATTAACGGTTTATTACTCGAAATATACTACAACTAACAATATTTTTGCTGTGGGAGTTTATAAGTGAAAGTTTGTTTTCTTTCATTTTCTATCATTATCAGATGAATTTCAGATTTTAGACATTAGATGCTGTTAATATTTCATATAAATTAAAAATACGTTTATAACACTGTCTTAAAATGACATGTACACTAATTTAAAAAATGCCCTCATTTATATCTTATCCTTTGCGTAATGAAGTTAACAATTTAATAGAACTTTCAATGTATTAAAAAAAGGTCAAGTGCGAGTCGGGGTTGCGTACTGCTCACTAGGTCCACTAATTTCATATGCAACCTTTTTAGTGCAAAACACAGCAAGCAAAACTTCTTATATGTATATTTTTCGGGGTTCAATTTGGATACTACTGCCAATCCAATCTATACTAATATTAAAAAGTCGAAGAGTTTATTTGAACGCACTAATCTCACGATCCTACTGGTTCTAATTGAAAACAAATTTTTGCGTGGGTTGCTTTATCGAGGAAGGCTTTAGGCTATATAACATCAGGCTGCCAATAGGAGCGAAAGTCGTAGGGTCGTGGGTAAAAGCTATAATTCAAAAGTTGAGGAGGTTGTTTGTAAAAATAAATTATATTATGATGCCCATTATAGCTACTCTACACGGAGGAAGTCGCAGGCACAGGTAGTCTAATAAACATGAGGTCCGAGTGTGTAAATCAATCGCGCGAAAACGTGGTGAAATATTGCGTACGAACTTACATAATCTCTACTGTTACGATTTAAAAATAACATATCAATTGTAACATCACGAGACTCAATTCTCGGATCGCACTACTCTCGGCTATATTTAGACCACTTAATACGTTAGCCTTTTTGATTACTCAAATGGGTCTTAGCCTCGCAGACTGTAATTTTAGCTTTATTCTCATTAATATAGTCTGTACTATGCTTGCTTCTATTACCGCTACATAAAAATAATGACATAGATTTGATATACAAAATATTAAGACGATTACACGATTTTTGGAAAATAAAAAATGACGTAAAAGAAAAGATACTAAATAAATATTAATGTACCTGTATTTCTTATTAGAAATCCCGCGTACGCGTGACTGTTTATTTTTACAGACAAATAGTTTGAAAGCTTTAATATGTTTTTTACATGTTATTGCACATTAAGGTTAGTTAGGACTCGGTAGCTGAATTGGTAGAGCCTGCCCGAGTCGAATTTTTTTAAAATTTATTTCCTTTTTTGAAATTAGACAAATAGTTCATTAGTCTTTTGTGGCTGGTCTGATTGACACTTTCAGATTCAAACCCAGGGATTCTTAATCGTTTTATTTATGAAAAAGGATAGCCAACCCCGAAGGAAAGTTAACCAAGGATAGTTTCACCGCTTCTATATAAACTAAAAATTCATTTTGTGTCGTTCTTGCAATCTACAGAAAAAAAGACTTGTCAAAACGAATGTTAAGATAATCTACCTACTATAGTAAAGGGTAGGTCACTTGAGGGCAGTCCTTTTAAACCACACTATTCGTGCCTCCTGTTCAACAATGACCTTCAATAGTGAAGAAATCTTTGCGACATCTAAATGTATCATTATTTATGCTATTATTCCATTTATTTTTCTAACTTCGCTAATGTGCATTGACGTATAGTTCACAGAGTAAGAGTCGCCTTAATTAAAACCTGTTCGCATGATTCAGAATCACGTGACGCCGTGTGAAACTGTGAACTGTGTTATTTTATAAATAGCGCTAAGGTTAAACAAATTGTATTTTATTTGGATAACCTTAGAATGTAATTTTAAACATTAATTATTACCATAGACTAACTAATGAACCACGAGGTAAACAGGTAACGAATGGGTTTTCTTTATTACGTGTCATTTCAAATTTGAATGAAGAAGTTTTATGTAAGGTATAAAACTTGCTAGCGCTTATTGCCCATTTCCCCGTATCGCAATTTCCATATCAGATTTCTTTACGTTAGTTTTGAGAATTCTAAATGCATACGGATTAAAGAATTATCATTTTCTAATAAAAAACCATTATAGGATTAAAAAACATAACATTTTTACGTGACTAGCTGTGTCAGTGACTTCGTCTGCGTAGAATAGTTATTTTGGGCATAAAACTTTGTTTTTGCAAACCTTGTCAATTCTATAAATTTAAGTTACCCATGGCATCATCCGCGTCCCCTTGTCCTTACACGTTAATCTTAAAAGATTAAGGCTTTTTTTAGATAACTTAAAGAGGAATCATTCTTCCATTTTTTCACTCCTATTAGTCGCAGCTCGAAGTTTTATATATGTATAGCCCACCTCGATAAATCCTCGATAGATTAACGCGTTGAAACAGATAAACAAACTAACTAACCGATAATCGAACCCTTTAAAATAAATGTCCCTTCGTGGCTGCATCCTCCCCTTATCTACCTCGTCAGAATAAGAAAGTGAAGAAGTAAAAATGAATATGTTTGGACCAAGAACATTTTTCGATCGTCCATTAACTATACAAATACCCGCTCAAAAGCACCTTATCGTTGATTTTATTTATATAACTGATAGGTCATCAAATGTACGATCTACAAAAGTCATGTGATTGTCGTATTCTTAGTTTGTGCCTTGAAATCGTTACTTCCCTAATGATTACGAATTCCACTTTGCATTGTTTATAGTCATCCGAACTTCTTCAATTTAAAAAATGGATTTAGCGCTCGGACTTGCTTTTTTTAGATTTTTACTTTGAGCTTGAGATACGATTATTTTTTTTGAGCTTCCAAATTGTTCTGAATAATCAAATAAAAAAATAATTTAACATACCAGACTCAGTGACATAATGAAAAGCATAGGTCGACACATCTTGTTAATGGGGGGTACCTATTTCATCTCCGATAAATTTAATCGCATGCTTGTTTGTCCTACTCTCTATCATATATATTTTTTTGTAATTATAGAGCCTAAAGAAAAAAAATCCCCTTTAGGTATTTTTTATAACGTATTTAATAATTTAATGCCTTTATTCAAATGATGGGTATTGCTATTGTGCGTGTGCAGTCATGCGGCCAGTGTACACGATCTCTTAGGGTCAAGGTAACAACGAACGCGAACTTCCAAACTATGACATCATCCATTAAAAACGAATTACCTATGAAATAAGTTCAAAAAACAACCTCATTAGTGTTTTTTGGCAATGAAGGAAAAATGTGTAAATTTAGATCGTTTGCTTTCTTTTTATTTTGAGTATTGTGACGTAATACATCCGGTTCGAAGGACCATAATTGAGAGTGGTCAAAATAATTTAAAGCGACTGCAAAGTTCATTATAATAATTATGATGCGTTGCTTGCATATAATATTTGCAGTCACTTTGGGGATTATAAAACTTTAGACGAGTGTCCTCTACACTCGCCTAAATTTTACGGTTGTTTAAATAAACGTGTAAATGTGTACTACTCGCGTAAACTATAGACAGTATTTTACGGTTGTTCTAAAAATCATGGTCTTTTTATTCCTTTTGTGTCCAATATCTACCTTAAAGGCATGTTTACGAACGAATTTTGATAAAATGTTTGAAAACTTTATTATTTTTTACATGTCATTGCATATGAAGGCATTATATAATTTAAATTTGAGCTATCGAGTCAATTGGTAGAGCAACAGCACGGAACGGTGACGATGCCGGTTCACGTTCTGCCCGAGTCGAAATTTTTTAACTGGGACTATTAGCAGACAATACAGCCTGATGAAGGGTTCTTGTTTTAGTACAAAGGACCGGCTGCGGACGCCACAGCACTCGGTGAGATGATGTTCGGTGCCGTGGCTATGAACTGCAAGAGTGTGTCATTGAAGATTCATATCATGGATGAACCAAAAAGGTAAGTCTCTTCGTCAATGTTGATGAAAATAATGCGAACATAATGCGTCAGACCCTATTGATGCTAATGCATTCAAAAACTGACTATTAGCGATAAATATGGCCCCATTGAAAAAAAAGCCGTGAAATGAACGCATTTTGCCTACCGTCTATGAATTTTGTGATTGAAAACCAATGTAAGCTAGGGTGACAGAGTATCTTATTGAAATACTATGACTACGGTATTTCACCTTCCATCTAGTAAATGCTTGTTTAATCCTTATCTATATAACAAAGTATTCGTCGTTATGGTGGGATATGGGATTAGTCTCATAACCTGACCTGTGACGTATTTTAGAGTATTTCTTCTTAAATTTAACACGTCTTACTTACTTGTCAATCTTTCTTTCGCTTTGACTCGTTTTTTTGCCAATACATAATGTCATATTAGAACGTCTCAATCTATCCGACTTGTGAAACGTGCTTGTCCTTTTTCGATAAAAAGTTGCCTCATAACCACTCAAGGAAACGTGAAATGTGTGTATATTAATGTACCAGTATGATCCGACATATACTCAATGTTAGGAAATTTTTCTTTTTTTTACATGTAATTGCTCTACCAATTGAGCTACCGAGTCGGCAACAGCACGGAACGTTGACAATGCCGGTTCAAGTCTTGCCCGAGTCAAAAAATATTTACTTTATTTTCGATTTTTAAATTATATAGATTTTTCTTTTTTATCTAATGATGTGTTTGCTGTTCATAACAGACTTATCTTAATTTTTCTTGATAGCTTACACTATTTTTGTGATTTAAGTACGTGAAGACTTGAAATAATACTTGGCGATAAAATGAGTAGCGGCGAGTTTATTGCCAGCTCTTCTTCTAACGTCTACGCCTTTACTTTGAGAATGAGAGTATGACTATGCATTTTTAGTCTTTTGTTTTTACAAATAACATTCATAATTTTGCTTATTTTCGTGAATAAATTATATTTTTGTAGTAAAGCCATTTTGTACCTGTTGAAATGCTGACAAGTAGTTTTCTCGTTAGAAGCGTAATTTCAGTACAGTCTAGCTTATACTAATATCTCCATTAATTAAATGCGTAGTTTGTATCCGGTCATAAGTGATTCTTACTGGATTTTTGTCGGCTAGGTAATAACGGACTGAAATAATTTATCATTGAATCGTTTCAACGAACTAAAACTATTGTTAAGTGAATGATTAGATCGCTGTTTACGATTGTTATCGTTGTGCGTGATGCATTTTGTAATGATATAACAGCTAAAATTAGTTTTGAAAATGTCATTTACGTACATGAATTTTCATCCTCACTTCGCATTAACAACACACGCACACAAAAAACAGAATAACTTAATATTTAAAATATTATTTTATAGAGCATCACATTTTTTGTAAGAGATTAAAAGCCACTAAATTTAGCAGGTGTCATTTTTTACGACATTAGATGGTTTCACTGCAAGAATATTCGCATTAAAAAAGATATGTTTTGTCTTTTTATTTTTAATTAACATATCTATCTAATCGATATATACCTACGATAAGAAAGTTATAGTCAAAAGTGCAGATTCATGATTGTACATAAGTCTCTTTTAAATATGACCGTAGAACAATAAATACGTGTTGCACTGTGTTAAGCACGAGAGGTCCTAACTTCGAATCACGGATATACTGTAGTCAATCAATGAGTGAAACGGATAGACAAAAGTGTTCGTACATAAGATAAAGATCTTATATTTTTTTTATATAAATGTAACCTTATATAAACTATAATTACAATTTAGTGTTTCCAATAATATAATAATCATATTAAAATAACCTTATACTTATACCTATATGCATATCGAATTGCAGTCTGTGGTTTGTATTACCTTCTAGTGTTACCTAATTTTATTCTTGCTAAGAATACTACTTCTTACAATTATGACATAGATGACATTGCATAATGACTTGCAAGGTCTCAGCAAAAGTTAGTCCTCTACAATATATTATCCATTTGTTATTTGCGAGAAAAACTAATGAGGGACTAAAAAAATCTAAGTATTGACTGTTTACGCGAAAAGCTCAAATAAGACCTAACGGTTTAAAATGTTGTTTATGTTCGTTAACTTATTTTTAACAATGTCACGAACTTGTCGAGTGTCGAGCAGGTGTGGTCACGGGGGGACGTCGGGTTAAATATAAATTAAAGTATTATCACTAAAATCTAATTTTATACCGTTACTTACTTTTTTTATTTTGAACATAGAAAATATTTGTAATATAAATAAATAATAGTGAACCTTTCATATTCTACGGTGGTTCATGACCCGTACGGAATTTTATATATTCCTACCACCCATCTAGATTTCCACACGAAGTCCAACATGTTTCAGAAAAATCATGAATTGATGCGACCTGGTTGATACCGAACCCACCACCCGTTGATTATTTATACGTTGTTACCATTAATTGTAAAGATGTTAAGATCAATGACACGTACAGTGCTCTTCAAACTTTTTGGCCAGGCTGAAGTTAGCGCGGACCGTTGCGCAAAACGAAAAAAGCAGGTATCAGTCGCGACAAAAGAGGTGCGCAGATGACTCGAATTTTTGCTTAAAATTGATGGCGGCCATGCGCAAGATGGCGGTCGCGCTAACTTCAGGCCGGCCTAAAGGGTTAGAGAAAACTATACCTAATCTTTAGAATGTTTAACAGGTTAATGTGCACGAAGATGTTCTGCGTGCCCTCGCGCAGGAGTCGTGGGGATAGAAAGGTCGATATCAACGGGAATATTAGCGGAGTACTTGGGAGTTGTGCAACGAAAATGCCGGTGAAGGAGGAAGGAGTTTCCCTTAGTTTTTCCATCGATAGAGGCGACTCGGGTAAGTTATTCCTACTAATCCTACTGTCTAGTACTTTGATAAAAATCGATAACAATTGCGGGACTTGAACCTGCGACAACCAGCCTATAATACTTGTTTCGAAAGCATTCGTATCTTCAAATTGATCGGCAAAATAAATTATTATTTTTTGACTTTTTATTATTTGAGTATACTTATAAAATTGCCACATATGTTGCAAATAGTTTTCTTTCCATAATGGTTCTAAGCACATGCACACTTACATAACACAATGCGGAATAAATAGAATCGCTTGAATATAAAACTGTACTTAATAACTATTTTCCTCATTATATTCTATAAATAACTTTTCGCCTCGTCTAGACTCGTCAAGAATACGTATCTATAAAGAATGTTGCTTAACAGAGGTGTATCAGCACCATAATCTTGTCTTCATTATTCTAACTGTTGCTAGTAATCAATTGGTAGTGAATTCGATGCCCACCGGGTCCAGAATTCTTAAGTCCAATTATAAATATTGCATCTTAAATGAAACACTGTCTACAGAAAAGTCGTGAAGTGAAAAACGTATGTTTCGCTGTCAGTCACTGGATTTCGAATTTACAAACCAAAATAGGTCGACACCTTCGCACCTTTTTTTCGATATTACGTGGCTGGTGCACTTAAAAAAAAGAAAGTCAAATATGTTTTTATTATTATTTAAAAAATGCCTTTACTTAAATAAATGCCTCTGCAGGTTTTTGTGGTGAACAGTCATACAGCACGATAGGATCAGAAGTCGACTTCTACTCCATGTTCGACTCCTGGGACGGAAACATGCAACACGAATACTCATTTTCATGTAAGTATTAATTCCTTATAAGTAAGTATATAAACGACACTTGTATAAAATGTTTTGACTCTCTCACGCGAATTATTTTATACTACACAATATTAGATGCTTTACAGCAGTTATGTTAACGAGGACGGTCGCATTTGTTTCTGGTTAAAATATTCATGTATATACCACTCGCATAAAAATACAGCTTAAACCGTGAAAATATTTCATTTCAATAAGTAATTGAAATAAAACACTAACGGTTTAAAAGGAGATGTAAGTTGGTTAAACTTATTTGAAAATTATTTAACTACGGCCCGACGTTTCGAATGCTTTGCAGCAGCCTCCCCGTGACCACGGCTGCAGAAACAGTTAAAATGTTTTATTTAAATGTGTACTATTCGCGTAAACTGCAAACAGTATTTGATGGTATAAGTAGTTATATAATGTTCTAGTAGTTTCTAGTATATCAACTACATTTTTAATCCCCCTGCCTTCTTGTTTAGTTTCCTCATTCATTGTGATATAATTAATCTTAAATTCTAAAAGGATATCTTCAAATAAACACTTGCACAAATCCATATAGTTTATCCAACGTCCCATATTTAATAGCCGTCATCCAACAAAAGTATTATTGTATAAGTAGGCGTGTGTATTCCCAGCTTCGTCCGGGAGGTTAAGTTCATCATCAGGTAGTTGGCAGCGGCGGACATCCCAGTGCCTGGCTACCAGATTCGATATGACACCCAGCACCGCATCTTTGAGGGTACCCAAGATCGCTACTGTTTCGAGTAATGATTCACAGGTGAGTCACTTTAAACTTAAATAAAGGTAAGTTATAACTACAATCTTATAAGGTGGAGTATAAAAACTTGAAAAAGATTGAAAAAATCGACGATGACGTGTAGGAGAAGGTAAGTCAATCGGTTAGAGCAACCGCACGGAATGCTGTGGATGGCTGTTCAAATCCTGCCTGTGTTGTAAAGAGTTTTCAATCTAGAATTGATATTTTATTAAAAATGTTTTCACTTAACATTTCTATAAAATGAACTCATGAAGTGATCAATCAAACTTGTCACGATGATAATGTTTTACGAAGCCCCTTCACACTAGATAATGAGGTTGACATTGGTTTTAAGGTTTAATAGGAGTACAATAAACTGAAATCCGTACAATAGAACATTAGCCACTGCCAACGCGGCTTTTAGGCTCCTGTCTCATAAACACTGTAGATTGTGTACAGCGTAACATACACTGTCGTTACTGAAATCCGCACAATAAAACATAAGCCACTGCCAACGAAGCTTTTAGGCTTCTGTTTCCTATAAACGCTGTAAATGGCGTACAGCGTCACATACTCTAATTGTTGTCTCCTTCAAACGCCGATATTATCGTCCCTGGCTAATTCGAATTATTGCTTAGTACATATTGTACGTTAATTTCTGTTCATAGGCAGGCCGATAGATAAGGCAACAGTAATCCACACAGAGTTGTACGAAATACTGGTAAAAAGCAAAATATTCTGCGATGCAAATGCCGAAGTGTCTAGAGACTGAAGCAGAAGCATAAATTCGTACGAATTATTCGCATTATCTATCATCATCTAGTTGGTCTTATAGTAACAATGTATGACTAATAATCAACGGGTTATGATTGGATCTCTGATCGGGTCCAACATATCTTGAACAATTTTATGAAATTTCTGAAACATGTAGTGCTTCGCCTGGAAAGCTCAGTATTAAACGAATATCAAAATTACCGTCCGTGTCCCGAACCACAGTGCAAAAATGAAATAGTAGTGTAATGTAATGTGTATGTAAAATAATTAAAGTGTGGATTACCGAATTTCCAAAGCGCGAATTTTGTCACGATGTTATTTATATGGCAAGGGTATTTCATCTTGTATCAAATAAACTCCATCATTTCCTGTCCTCGTCTAAAAAGCGGACAACGCGTCGTTGTACGAATGCTATAGCGTTTATTTGAGACCGCAACCTAAGTGTTTAAACAAACAAAGGCTTTATCAAACCACTCGTGATTCGCGTCGTATGAATGACCGCATTTAAGTCATATGATCCACTTATCGTTGCATTTCGTGTGATAATTATTTATTACAGTTGCGGGCAACGTTATCTGTATAATTCTTTAGTGGTTACGTGCTAATCAGAACGATGTATAGATTATTTAACTTGGCCTTTCAAAATTACTCGCTTCCGTTGCTGAATGGTTAAACGTCGTATTGTGTTAAGAGGTTCTGGCTTCGAGTCTTGGGGAAACGATGCATTTCGCCTGTAGATAAAACCAATTAGTGGAATGGACAGAAATTTCTTGGCCCCATGCCACTCTAGGGGAGGGCGGGATTTCGCTATAAAAAATATCATTGATAAACAGTACCACAAGTGGTATGCTTACGTAATTATTAGGCTTATTGTTGCAATACCTTAAGCACTTATTCGCGAGATTTTTTATAACTTTGAGATTTTTTGAATATTTCAGACCCCAACTGAAAACTAGATATTATATAGGTGGTAAAATTATTGAAATTACAACGGTGTACATAAAAAAGTATGAAGTTTTAATAAAGGTATTGAAGTGAAAACCTTGTAGTTCATGCCCTGATTTCCAAAGCGTTCAAAAAGTAATGTAGTCTACTTGTTCAAGCATTCAATTAATTGTAAGACGATACCATATAGTTAAGAGTATTGTGAGAAGCCGCTTAAATTACAGCTAATCTAGATCAACTAATTGAACTATTTTCCAGTAACCTAAAACATTGTGAGGGCTTTATGTTGTACAAGGCTAGAGTATTTTATGTCACTTTTGTCTTCTTCACTAGCTGATCCGTCAAACGTTGTTTTATTGTTTGTAAGATTATTTATACAAATTGAATTGCGATCAAATGTGATTACCGTAAAAACGGTTTTTGCGAGTTCATCTTAAAAGGTAGACATTATATATTTCATTCTTTTATACATATTTTCAGTCTTTTAAATAATTTTCGCATTATCTCAAAGATAATTTAAAAAGTTAAAAAAGGTATTTTTCTCCGATTTTCCACATTTCCCTCCATTTCTTTGTTGTTATTGGTCGCAACCTGATGTTATATAGCCTAAAGCCTTCCTCGATAAATAGTCCCACCAATACTAAGAGTAGTTCCTAAGATTACCTCGTTTAAACAAACAAACTAAACTTTATAATATTAGTATAGAGGCGGTCAGCGGCCTAGTTAGTAAACACAAATCTTAATTTTCATAATCTATATTTGCATAAAATCGCGCCATACTAACAATTGTTAATTAGCCCGGCGTCACGTGCTTTGAGTTGCTAATTTTTTTTTTGTCACAGATAACAGTATCAAGTTATCAAGGTTAACATTTAAAAGGAGGCCAAAATTATATGACGTAATGTTTATTAAATACAGTGTGATAATGCAAGGAAGACTCAATTCGATGTGAGATGTACTAAATTAAAAAAAAACTATATTTTTATACGTGAACGGGCTCGTTGGTCTAATGGTGGCAACGTATGGCTAATATGTTTCTAATTTTTCAATATATAATTTTTCTGATACATGTTGGACTTCGTCTGGAAATCTGGATATTAAGCGACTGCTTAGAATATAGAAATTCCGTCTGGGTCACGAACCACCGTCCACAAATGATAAAGCCGTGAAGCTTAATGTGTGTTTCGATTTCAGTCTGTGGATTTCCGATTATCCAAAGCCAAAATAGCAGACAGCGCATCTCGTTTAGATTCTATAGCCTCGAATATATAATCTACGATCAAGTAGTTGGGGTTCCCAAGCTTGTCAGTCCTTCTCTATCATTATAAAAATTGACGCGGGCGGGTCTCGAACCCACAATCGCAGCACATTTCTATGCTATACTGTATTTTGAGCGCAAGGCTACAATTAGTTCGGTATTACTTTTAAATCGATACCTTCAAACTTTATTCCCATTTCTTCAAACAAAAGTACATGCTTGTAACGCATTACGTAACGAAGAGATACCCACCCACAGAAAGATATAACTCAGTCTTCTTGCAGGTATACAGCATCAGTTCCAACAACGGTACTACGGAAAGTCTAGCTAGCACTGTTAGTCAGACGTTAAGAAGAAGCAAACTTGGCTTGGCGTTACTTATCTCTGTAGCAGAAACTGCTGATATGTAAGTTTTTCACACGCATTTAAATAAAAAAACTTTTAATAGTTTAAAACGCGAAATATATTCGTTAACTAGTGTCCCGATGTGACCACGGCTGCTGCAAAGCATCCGAAACGTCGGGCCATAGTTAAAATGTGTTAATAACACATTTATTAACTAATATATCGCGTTATAAATCGTGATTTATTTAAATGTCCAAATCAGACTAAATAATCTTTTTGTAACTTATTTGAGTTTTAAGACTATAAAAAAATGTATTAAACAAAGAAAGTTTATATGCCCATGCGCAACTTAATCTATTGGTAAAAATGGCCAAATGATTCGTGCAGTAAGTAATGCAAAATTTATTCACCTACTCATTTTATATTCACACATGGTAATTTTAGTACTATTGTCAAAAAATATTATAGATGGCGTCCATTTTCTTTTTTATAAATTCCATATTGACTGTCAAATAGAATTGCGTATTCAAATAAACCGCATATTAATTTAAGTCTATACACACAAAAATATAATTAACCTGATGTTAATAGCTTAAAAATTATTTGTTCGAGTTCAAAAGCGAGATAAAACAAAAATTAATGAAGCTGTTTAAAGTCATGTGACTGCCGACATTTATCTGTCAGATAAGCTTGTTTACTGATTGTATCTTCGTAACAAATTAATGAAATCCAGGTCGTTAATATGAAAGAGACCGTTCTTGATATTTGCGAATATTATTGAAAATTTTGCAAAGTGTAAATCACACAGTTCAGACTAACGGACAGTAACGGCGAGTTTCTTAGACTTGTCGTGCTTTACCTTTCTAAAAATGTCAAGTTTAATCGCGTTTCGGTTTTAGTCTATTGATTTCCGAATCCAAAGCCAAAATAGGCCGACAGCGCATCTTGTATAAATGTTATATGCTTGTCTGTCTTTCTCTATCATAAAAAAATGTTAAAGGGCGGATGTTGATGACGTGAAACTAGTTCTATCTTCGAAGTAACGTTATTTATGAATGAGCAAGTACGAAGGACGTCACGAAACATGTGACTCGTGATTCATAAGCATGTTTACAGATTTTATTAACGATTTCAAAAGAATAAGTGTATTTTTGCGGTTCAATAAAGGCCGAACGGTTTTCGAAGTCACGAGGTGTTACGCTATATATATGTTGTGCTTTCGGGGTTTCAGGAAAAACGTCGAGAATTCAATATTTATCACCTTGTAAGATGTGTTGTGGTCTTTTGCACGTGATTGTACTATCATCACAAACAACAGTATAACTGCATGTTGCGTCAATTCGAACATAAGAAAAAGGCGTGACAATTTGGTAGCTAGTGGTTGAGGTGTATATATAATAATATTGCATATTACTTTATCCCCTGAAACAAAACAGAAGAAAGACCTTCATGATATTTCTACATTTATAGGGACGTAGTCCGTCGTTGTGTGGAGCACTCCAACCAACTGCAATCGCTCGTCTGCAGATTGAGGCTTGCCACACTGACTGCTGGTTCCGGGGACAGATTTGTGTCAACTCTTTGCAAAGCCACAGAAGACGCTGCGAGATGGTAAGAAATCTTATAAATTGAAAATTGGCTCATGCTGTTAAAACAGCACGGAACGCTGTGCATGCCGGCTCAAGTCCCGCCCGTGTCGTAAATCTTTATCAATCTAAATTTAACATTTACATAATGCCCCCATCTGCAATAACACGTGAAAAATATTACAGTTTTCAAGAAACTTATTATATTGAAGAGTATTTAAAGGCAGTTTTTGGTCACTTAAAACGATTAGTAATCATGTATGTATTGATTTTTTTTTAAATAAAACACTATTAACGGTTTGAAACGTGGTGTATATACAACAAATAAACTAATACTAAAATAAGTTTGATTCAAAACCAGCTTTGAAACTAAAAGAACTAATAAACTGGTTTCTTATTACCCACATATACATGTCTTTTTAAGTGAGATATACTATACCGCTACTTATAGCGGTGACTAGTATCTACAAGATAAGTAAAACGGACACAAAAATGTATCTGCCCATTGCTCTACTTAGGAGGAACGGGTTATCAATAGATCAGGAATTCACTCTACCTTTTCTAATCAAATCTGACTGTGCTTACGCTATTTTGAAGTTTCCTTCCTGTTGTACGATAATATGTCATAAACCTGGCGGCGCGCCCATATTTATGCAGCGGAGTGCTGCAAAGCACACTTGATTGATTATTATGCATTCGTGGTTACGTACTGTGGGTATATACACTTGCCTCTTAAAATGTAAGTCACTTTTGACAGTGGTAGGACAGAAATCACGTAACGACTGCCACTCGTTGGATGGTTAACCATCCAACGCGTTTCAAACTGTTAAAAATGTTTTATTCAATATAATCGCAAACAGATCGTTAAACTAGTTTTTGTGATGAACCTTTTTATTTAAATAAAACACTTTTAACGGTTTAAAACGCGAAATATATTACTTACATTTCATTTTATTTTAACTACGTCCCGAAGTTTTGATGCTTTGCAGCAACCGTGGTCGTGGGATACGTATTTTTATGATAGAAGAAGGCAGACACATCACAGATCTACTTTGGCGTTTTAGCATACTCGCATAAACTACAGACAATACTTAACCTTACATTTCGATTCCTGAAGTATATTTATCAAACACTTGAAGGCCAGTAGAAGTCAAACAAAGTGATCAACATGATTGAGTTTATAGTGGGTCATAGAAACTGTTCTTAAGATTAGGAGAATGAAAGTGTTCGTCACATTAGTACTTACTAGTATAATTACATTCGAAGATTGAATTAATTCCAGGTTATCAGATCTTATGTACGGTGTCAGATTGCAACCAGTCTGGCTAAGCCTTGTCACCAGTGAGCCGAAAATTTCAAACAAACTAGCCGAAAACCTCTTAACAGATCTATGTTCTGTGATCAGCATTGGAGACTCGAAGCATACTAATTTGTAAGTATTTCAAGTTTTTCGTTAGAAAATAAATACAGACATTTTGAAATAATATTACGTAGTAATTCTAAGTAGACAAGGTCCCTTCTGACCGAGGGGGATAACCCGTCGTCTTTAGCTGGTGAACCAATAGGGACAAAATAAAAAAGCAATCATTAAAATTTTGTTACACGACAATACAATTAAGTAGTTAATCCAGCTTCAGTGCTCTGCCTGACTGAACTGGCATAGACCCTAAAACGATATATAACAATTAAGTTCTTATTTATAAAAATCTTTGCGAAAACAAAGCTTCTGATCTTGCCAATAAATCAATATATTTATAAAATATTTTGTCAGCAAAGCAACGTCCATTGATGAAAAGGCTGTGAAGCATAGTCGCGGTACGGTTTCACACTATGTATTTCCGAATTTCTAAAGCCAAAATATGTCATCAACAATCAGTCCTCCTCTACAATAAAAATGGACTAATTGACTCAGTTACTAGAAAAATTCTAATCTGTACAAACGCGTTATCCTCCTATTCGTACCACTGTATCTCACGTGATACAAAAAAACAGTGTACGTTATCTTGATTTATGTTATCATAAATTTAATGGCTCGTAAACGTAGTCATTTAAGATGTAAAAATAAGACACGCTGATGGTCTGTGTCAAAATAATGTACTCGTCCAGTCTTTATTATAGTTTAGTGTCTTTCTCTCGGGCAATAAAGTATGTTGTTGGATTTATTTTTAACTGGTTGCCCTCGTGTTTGATGTTACTAAGAATAAAATAAGTTAATATTAGCTAGTAGACTTGTGAAAAATTACTATTGCAAAATTTCAAATGTCTAGGCGCGTCACTTTATTTTCTTACATTGGGCTACGAAATAGACAGTGTATGAGATAAACGCGTTCAAACACACCATACCATCATTATGATATAAGTATATTTTTATGAAGACACAGTAATTACGACCGAAATAGTAAACTATTTTTCGCAAGTGTTGACAATGTGTTTAGTTCGCGAATCTGCACAATGTTAGTGACGCAATGATTTTGTCTCTAAATCACATGATTTTAAGGGCCACCGTAAACGAACTAAAAAATATTGCTACCGTTTCTACAAAATGTAATTTAGTTATTATTTTTGAAATTTATAATTAGAATCGCGTTATTTAAGTTATACCTCGAAGACGATAAACGAAAGATTTAGGGTAATGATTTTGTTCGTCTATGTCAGCTGGCTTTATATATTAATATACTAACCATGGCGTAAATATTGGCATGCGTAGTTTATATCCAGATTAAATGCGACTAAATGAAAATCCGAAAAATAAATGGCCGTACATTTGTGCTTTTCAATCCCTATATATCAAACTAAAAACGGAACAAAAAACTGAAACGGACACAAATATATGTTCGCCCCGTGCCCCATTATTTCTATTTACTATGCGAGTTAAACATGACCTCGCTTACACAACCGTTTAATGTCAAGTAATTAATCCGTTTAGATTTTGACAGATCTTGGATGACAGCCAATTCCCAATTAATTAGTAAGAAAAAAACTACACATCCCCCTTCGCTAGACGTGAATGGAACGGAGAATAAATTTAGAAACGTATTTACGTCCTTTGTTTACGCGCCATTCACGTGACGCTCTCCAGCGTGACACTTACAAATTGGACAAATCCGTTGTGTAACTAAAGAGTGGGCGGTGACGGGAAATATACTTCTAATTTCAGCGTTCCGTCTAATTGGTTATTTGACGTTTTTAAATATATAGTGTATTTTTTCTAACTTGGCACATAATCACAGCAAATATGGCCGATTGCATACAATAGAGAACTATTTCCCCTTTTATAGAGTGTAGTAATTGCCACAGATAATACAAGTATAGAGAAATATCCATCATATATGGACCAAACGGCCTCATTTCAAAATCACTTTTGACAATGAAAATTATTATTATTATTTAACTCGACGTTTGTAACGATCGTGCATAGGTGGGATTTTAACCCTTCTATTCTTGTCGAATTTGCTTACATCAATACTTATGTAAATGTTAAACTAAATACATTTTTTATCTTTCATTTACTGAATTTAATTTTAGTTGAAATTGTGGTTCAATTTGAGGTAGCTCATTAGTTTAATATATAATCCAGTGTCTCGAAGTGTTTCCAGTGTGAATCATTGTAAATTCTGTAAGAAAATCAGGATTTCATGTAAATTGTGTCTACGAAAAATGACAAGTAAGAAAAAATATACTATAGTAATTGAATTTATAACTCAAAATATTTTTAAAATATCATAAATTGAAATGCGAATACGGTTCTTATTGAAGAAATGAATGTTCTATTAGTAAATAGGATAAATGGAACGCAGGCGACATTCACACGTCGTCATAAACATATTGTATAAAATATTTATTTTTAGCAAGTTCCGTGATTAAATGCTTCTTTGTAAGAATTAAACAATTATAATACTAATATATTTAAAAATATTTTAGACCGACTCCTAATGTGCGCTTTTATTTTCAGTTTCATCAGCACTCTCTTGACGCACGTTCTCACGCATCATCTTGGCTGGGTGACGACTGTCAGCCCATACGATGTCGTTGACCCCATCGAGGTTTCCATCAAGAGGGATTCCTTGGGGCCCTATAATGCGCTGTGGGCCCAACTCGGTGACCTCTGCGGTAGCATCGGATACCCACCACGCACCGCGAAAACCATTGTATCCGGCACCTCTAACGTGTTCTTTATCAATAAACTTTTGAGTGTCCTTACGTACTTCGTACGGTGCGGTGACGTCAAGAGAAATGACTTTTTATACCAAGACTGTGTTCCGAGTCAGAGCAAAGTTACGAATATAAATTTAGATTCCAAGAGGTTTTTAAATACAGATTTTAAGAAGGATAGCTTAGAAATATGTTCTGTAAACATTAGTGACAGTGATAGTACTTTGTGCGATGGCAGTGCCGTTTCAAAAGATAAGTTGAATTCGAGCGATAGTGGTAGAAATAGGCTGAGCGCGTCGGATGTTGGATTAAGAAAAACGACAACAGTCACTAATTTAAGTCAGAAGCTCTCTAAACCAGACCATGCAGCTGATTCTAGTTCGACCGCGAGTGACGTACAATCTAATCAAATGCGAAGGAATACTTCCATTATGATCTCGCTTGGGGCAGCTTCAGATTCCAGTGAAAAATCCTCTTTGTCAGACGAGTACGAACTAGATAAGAAAGTCGTCTTTGTTCTCGGAGATGATGACAAATTAGTAGGATTAAAAAATAAGTCTGTCGACGGTAAGAGCGTGAAGAAATCTTCTAAAGTTCAAAATGAACCGCTCCATCTGGAACCGACGACTGAGACGTGCGCCAAAGACTGTGACCGCGAGAAGACAGAGGGAGACGGCTCTACAAAGTGCTGCAACCAGACACTTCAACATTCCAAGCCCATTAAACATTCCGGTTTTAAATTCGAGTTTGATAAGTATCCACAGATAGTCACGAACTACATGAAGAGCAAGAACCTAGAGATTTTAGATAGACATTACATAGGTAAGCCGGGAAATCTCAAGTTGGACAATTTCCAGTTCGATCCGACTGTTGTGCCTCCGATCCAGGAAGAGAGATGCGAGACGTGTTACAAGTGTCAGATGATGGAATCTCTGTTGCAGACGCCGACGAACGCCTCTGAGATGGAGTACATGAACGATATGCCAAGACAATTGGAACCGCAATACGCGAAGGAGACCGTTGAAGACGAACCAGAGCGGCATCGGGAGCTATCTCCTAAAACATTCGTTAGGAAGCGAAAAGAGAACACAGTAATTATTAATGTAAGGAAGGACTCCGAAAAGGCAATAGTCGCAGAGAGCGAACCCCTCCGAGAAAGTGAGAACGTTCAAGTGCGTTCGAAACGTCGAGAAGATAGGTCGAGGAAAGAAGGAGATAAATTAAATGTGATAAAGAATGTTGATGTTAGACAAGTGATAGAATTCCCGCTTCCAATTATTAGTGCGAAGTCTCTCCAGGTTAATACCGGCTTCGATGTGTCGCTGCTTGGCGGAGTCACCGACCATTATGTACCTGATTTAATTTTACAAGGTGAGAATCTAATACTGTTTATAGTTTACGCGAGTAGTACACATCTAAATAAAACACTTTAACGGTTTAAAACGCGATATATTAGTTAAACTTATTTGAGAATGATTTCGGATGAACTTCGGCCCGACGTTAAAAATCATTATCAAATAAGTTTAACTAATATATCGCGTTTTAAACCGTTAAAGTGTTTTATTTAAATGTGTACTACTCGCGTAAACTATAGACAGTATCTATTAATAACTGTTTTCTTTTCTTGTTACGCAACTGTTAAAACAGTAATTATGTATGTTTGTTCTCGGTTGATTTTGCCAAACAATGTCATCATTGTCTAACAAGATAAAACCAACAGAGAGAAAGGAAAAGTACATTAAATTGCACGACATCGTCTAAATATTTCGCTTGTACCACAGAACTATGAACAAACTAGTAGTAACACAATTATAATTTTTAATTATTTATATTGTTGCAGTTGACTGATGTTAATAAGAATAACTTACTGATAGTTGAAAAATGAATTCTTCATAATTACTCCACTATACGGTACTTATAAATTAATGTTCCCAATTTCGAGCTTACTTACTGGTTCGTTCTGTATTCTGTAGTCTTACTAAGTACTTCGGTGTATGTAAATATTGTTCCTCGTTTGGCATAGTAAAAAATTACATGTTCGTGTTACGTAACATTTGGTATTTGTTTATTATGTTTAAATTTTAATATTAACTTACAGCTAAAAAGAAGCTAACATAAGATAATTTACATACATAAAAATGATGCAAATAAGAAATGTGTCAAGAGAAGGTATAGATATGATCGTGGGAGGAAATCTAAATATAGCAGACTTAGTAAATATAGCATGCATTAACATCTCGATTCATTTGTTTTATCCAATACTAGCTGGTTCGGCAAATTCTTATTTCATTAAAAGATAACGGGAGCCTTTAAAGACAAATAATTTTCCCAGATTTTTCCACATCTCTTACTTGTTTTTCGTTCCCATTTATCACAGCGTGATGTAATATAGCCTAAAGCCTTCCTAGATTAACAGTCTATGATAATTGATTTAAATAGACAAACAAACTTTTCAGTTTTATAATATTAGTATAGATTATGATGTCAAGTGTTTATTTTTTATATGGGTAGGTAACCGAACAATTTGCTAGCTATAGTAGTAGGACGGCAACGCATCATAATTGCTAAATGTGCGCTCTATAACTTTTATAATATCTCACTTCAATCTCTTTAAATAATAAAAACTATCTTTTTCAGGGACATTATCCAGTCCCAAAACGTGGGAAGCAGATTTAAGGAGGGATCTAGACTTGACAATGTACCTGAACAAGAGTTTAGACTCGCCTAGTCAAGCGGTTGCCATCATCGGTGATACAAATAAATGGTAAGATTTTGGTGATGGATAGTTGGTCCTTTGTTACTTATAACAAAACAACTGACATTTGAGCTAGAAAATACCTTTACCTTGTTAAAGGAAGAAATATATAAGTTAAGCAGTTTTGCAGCTTTGGGGTCTTAATATGGAGGCTGTCCCTTATGTCATAGTCAAATCTGCTACGCTAGCGACATCAATCGGTATGGGAGTATAAAAAAGTGTTGATTTTAAAATATTTTTTGGGCCTGGTTATTTTTCTTTGAAAGAACTATTATTGAATTTCAACATATAATGACAGTTCTTTAAATTAAGTGGCTTCGTACACAAGTATGTAACCCGTGGTTAACCGCAGTTAAGGTCTATTTAAATATTTTAGAAGATCAGTTTGTCTTAGGACAAATCTATATGGGACATAACATCTCTTTTACCAAACCGCATAGAAGAAGGCTTGCCTAAAAAACATATCCTTATGTATGCTTATTATTTAATTTACAGGGAAGTAAGGATCGTGGGAAGGGATTGTGGTAGCGCGGGTCTATCGCCGTTAGTTGGTGGTATGTTGGATGCGCTGCCGGCCATGCGGACCGCTAGAGTACCAGCGCAGCAGGTAACTGTTTATTGGCTTTATCAGTTTACAATACGCATTTTCGGTTATTTAGAAAGCTAGTTGGGTGTTCGTTGGGAATTGGTTATCGTTGAAATTTGAACGACATGGGCGGGACTTCAATCTGACCAATAGAGCTACTGTGTCGAATACGTCATTTGAATAAAAATGACAAAATAAAATATTTTATTATAAATATAAAACCGTGTGGAATTAACTAACAAACAATGGTTATGTTAACTAATGATTTAAATAAAACAAATATACAAATTATTGACCCCCAGTCTCTTCGTGACCACGGCAACTGCTAAACAACCGATTCGTCGGACGGTCACCGTTAAATCCAAAACGTTAACTAATACAGCCTTTTATTTAAATGTGTGCTAATGAATTTTATGATTGCAGTGCATCCTGTTCCTGGAGAGCAAACTTCGCGAGTTCTGTGTCCTGTCAAAAACACTAGCTGACCTCCTCATGTCAACGGACTTCTGTGATATAGGGACTCTTACAAAATCGCTGAACATCGATGTGAATGATGTGCCCTTTTTGTTGGCCGTGGCCAGTACACACTCGCCCCAAGTGGCAACCAGATACGGTATCAGCTATAGGTAGTGGAGAGATGATGTGTATAAAATGTTTATTGATATTGACTTAGAACTAAATAAAACATCTTTAACGGTTTGAAACGTGAATTACTTGTGATTTTATGAATGTCAGTCAGCCATTATATTCATGGTACTTTTCTAAAATCAAGTCAAATCTGCGACATTAGCGCCATCTGTTTTTATAATTGTTATTTGCCAATAATTATATAAAAGTTGATGAAGGATTATTGTTCGCGTTTTAACCCGTCAAATGATTTAATTTAAAGTGTACCACTTGCGTTACAGATGTATAATAAAATTATATAATTGGTAGCTTTAAATCAGTAACTATTGGAAATTGTTTTGAAAGCCATGACAAGATGAAAGGTTAAAACCACGCGTGGTAAAAGCATTTTTGTTTTAAATTAGTTGTTATTTAATTAAAATAATAATAATCTGTGATTTCTTCATATTATATAGAACGGATAATATTATCTGTGGTAGTACTGGTCATACTGTATATAGCATTAACAAGTACAAGTTTGTGCAATATTAAAGAAACCAGGAATGACTTTGGTGTTAAAATGGGCCGACCTAATTACGAGCCAAAATGGTGCAATAAAAAAAAATATTTGTCGATTTCGTTTGGGGTTTTCGGGTTTCTTTTAAATACTTCTTATTACTCCACTCCTGTCAACATCACAAGGAAATTTACAAAATATTTTTATTTAGATTGAAAAAGTTCGATTGTATGAGCAGTACTCGAATTTATGACCACTGTGTCCCATGCTCTCTCTACCACCTGACACTGTCACTCTACCAACTGAGCTAAAATTAACGAATCGCATCGGTCGTGCGTTCGCAACTGCTATTATTCAATCAAAATAGTTTTTTTTAATTTATGCAGTAATGTGACAATGAATCTCCCAAGTATCACAAGATGGCAATATAACATCTAATGTAACCTGTAATGTAACATGTCTACAGAGATGTCTACAATAATACCACAGTTAAAAAAATTGCAATTTTTGAATTTCTAAACTTTGCGAATATAGGTCGACATCACATCTTAATTGGTAGTTATAGATGGTCACGTTCCATCGTTTACTAACTTAGCTACACAGATTACACAAAGTCATTGTATGTATATATGTTTTGCTAGTGTTGCCCTATCATTAAAAATCAATATACATATCATGTGTTTTGTCACATTCAACATTAAAGCAAGACAATTATTTATTATAATCTATGGTAAAAGAACTTTATGGTGAAATTATTAAAATATTTATCTAGTCTATGCCTATATTTCCCGTTAATATTAACTAGCTGGGTATTTCTAAAGAGTACTTTTTAAATAAGCTAGCTTTAAGTTGATGGATATAATATGTGATGTAATAATTTTTATACTTAGTTAAATAATAAATTATTTTTTCATATTGTGCGCAGTTTTTTTCCCATCCATTTCATTGTTATAAGTTGCTTATTTACAATTTATTTTAACTGCGGCTGCTGCAAAACATTTAACACGTCGTTTAGTAAAATATATTGATAATAAGTTATCGTATATATTTCGCGTTTTAAATCGTTAAGTGTCTTCCTTATACGTTTTCTCGCGTAAATTACAAACAGTACGTCTTATTTATTTCTAGTTAATCACATTTGTTAGCTTAACAGAAAAGTAGTATAATCGAAATGTCTATGAATTAAATCTATATAGCTGTGGGTATACATATAATGAAAGCAAAACATGTTTATTACCTATCTGTATATATTATAAAGCTGAAGAGTTTGTTTGTTTGAACGGGCTAATCTCAGGAACTACTGGTTCGAATTAAAGAATTAATTTTGTGTTAGATAGGCCATTTATCGAGCCTAAGACCAAGCTACACATGACATAATACAACTTTGCAGCAGATAGGAGCCAAGAAACAGTGTGAAATGTGGGAAAATACGCAATAATTATCTAAAATATCTTTTGAGGGCTTCCGTTGTGTGAACTGCGAAAACGGTTTAAATAACCAAAAAAATATGTATGAGAGAATTATTCCTCTATTAATGATCTGAAATAATTTAGACTGCAGGAAATATCTATCTATGTAGACTAACTCGCAAGAACAACGGGACGCGGAAAACGTCGTGGGTAACGGCTGTAATTAATTACGCTGAGAAAGCTTTCAAAAATAAATATGATGCCCGAATAATTATTCCCCGTGGGCACAGCTTAGTAACTTATATTTGAAATACAGTTTTACTTAACGTTTACATAATAATGAAATTGAAAATGCTCAAACGCGACTCTGTTTTAGATAAGCCACATCTGCATACGAACAAAGGAATTACCAAAGCTTTTGCGGGGTTAAAAATGTGCCAGCTCGCTCTGACATTTAAATTAAAAGTTATTTTTTATTATTCCAAGAACATTCCAGTTCATTCTAATATAATTTTAAAACTGCACTAATTACGATCTAAAATCTCGACTGCATTTTATGAGATCTTGGGTTCGAATTTACGGTCCTGCTAAATCTTAGTTCGATGTTAAAGAAAAACATGTCATACTGGCTCGAGCTAAATAAAACCGTTTAAAAACGTTGGGACCGATGTTGCAGGAAACATATTAAAAGTTAAGATGCCCAAAATAACAATTCCACGCAGGCGAAGTCGCTGACACAGCTACTGTATTTATAAAATTGCTGTAATAATTACTATAATAAATAAATTGAAGTATACGAAATTAATACGAAACAAATTTTCCTACTAATCAATTTATACTGACCGATCAATAAAACCTTACTGAAATAATTTCCATTCTAGACGCCATATATTTTAAACTTATTCAATTGAAACGCGATACTCTTTGCAGAGCTGAGAAGGCTGCATTTTATGAGTCACTGTAAACTTTAATATTCATTGCTGTATTCAAGTAAGAAGCATTAAGATCACAATACGAATTGCTTTTGAATAAGTCATGACCCTTCGTCGAGACTTGGAAAAAAAGGTTCATCCTTATTTATTAATAGTTAATATTCTTACAGTGTCTTCTCATCCAAACATACAAACGTATGTATTTGTATAGTAAAGTATGAAATTTTGTTGTGTAGATGAAGTGTGTTAGAAGTTGCCATTGTTACATTTTAAGCCTTTTATTTAATTTGTTTGAGTATAGTTATTAAATTAAAAAAACATTAAAAATTTTTTTTTGGCTTTTTTTTTTTGGTTTTTTTTTTTTTTTTTTTTTTTTTCCTTTTTTTTTTTTTAAAATTTTTTTTTTCCAAGTCTATTTAAATAAAACACATTAACAGTTTAAAACGCGATATATTAGCTAAACTTATTTGGAAATGATTTGCCTCCCCGTGACCACGGTCCGCTGCGAAGTTAAAAATCATCAGTTAAAGTGTTCTATTGAAATGTGTACTACTCGCGAAAGCTATATGCATTAATTAAGACGAATATTAAAAAAAAAATTAATTAATTGTAACCAACCTTAGTTTGGTGTTTTTTTACCCCACCTCAAAATTTTTTTTTTTTTTTTTAAAGAGAAACAAAAAAATAAGGTTTTTTTCCCCCCGGAAGGGTTTTATTTTTTTTGGAAAAAATTTTTAAAAAAAACCCCTTTTTTTTTTTTTTTTTTTTTTTTTTTTAAAAACCCCCCCCCAAAAAATTTTTCCCCCGGGGGGGGAGGGGAAAAAACAAGGGGGGGGGGTTCCCGGGCGAAAAAAAAAATTTTTGGGGGGGGGGGGGCGGGGGGGGGCCCCCCCCCCCCCCCCCCAAAAAAAAAAAAAAAAAAGGGGGGGCTTGGGGGGGCGGGGGGGGGGTCCCTTTCCCCCCCAAAAAAAAAAAAACCCCGGGGGGGCCCCAAAAAAAAAAAAAAAAAAAATAAAAAAAAAAAAAAAAATTTTTTTGGGGTTTTTTTTTTTTTTTTTTTCCCAAAAAAAATTTTTTTTTTTTTTTTTTTTTTTTTTTTTTTTTTTATTTTTTAAAAAAAAAACCCCCCCCCCGCCCCAGAGGGGGGGGGGGGTTTTTTTTTCCCCCCACAAAAAGGGGGGGCCCTCCTCTCCCCCCGGGGGGGCCGGGGGGGGCCCCCCCCCCCCGGGTTTTTGGGGGTTTTTTTTTATATATTTTTTTCCCCCCCCTTTGGGGGGGGTCCCTTTTTTTTTCTTTTTTTGGGGGGGGGAAAAAGGGGGGGATTTTTTTTTTTTTTTTTTTTTTTTTTTTTTTGGGGGGGGGGGGGGGGGGGGGGGGGGGGGGGGGGGGGGGGAAAACCCCCAAAACCCCCCCAAAAAAAAAAAAAAAATATTTTTTTTTTTTTTTTTTTTTTTCCCCCCCTCCCCCCCCTCCAAAAAACACACCCCCAAAAAAAAAAAAAAAAAAAAAAAAAAAAAAAAAAAAAAAAATTTATCATCCGAAAGTCCGCGTCCCGGGAAGGATTTAAGTGAGCAAATCAATTTTCAAATAATGTTCCTCTTAATTTTTTTTTACCCATAGGCCCTGTGGGTTTTTTTTTTTGCCCCATTTTTTCCTTCCTTTTTTGGAATTTTTTTTTTTTCCCCCCTTGTTTTTTTTTTTTGTTGTTTTTTTTTTTTTTTTTCGGGTTTTTCCCCCTGGGGGTGTTGTTGGGGGGGCCGGGCCCCCCCCCTTCTTTTTTTTTTTTTTTCCCCTTCTTTTTTTTTTTTTTTTTTTTTTTTTTTTTTTTTTTTTTTTTTTTTTTTTTTTTTTTTTTTTTCCCAAAAAAAAAAGGGGGGGGGGGTTGTTTTTTTTTAATTACCCAAATCGAAATGCGCGTTTTTATGTCATAATTTTGTTACTATTTTTTTCTGATTTCTGATTAATAATACTCGTTTCTTCCAACCCCGATTCGACCGAATTAAAAGTGTTGTACCTACGACCGTCAAGCTGTGTACCGTAAAAATGCTCGAAAACGTAAACTATTTGCAATACTTATTCGTATATAAACAAATAATAACCTTTTTTTTAAAGTTATTTTTATTTAAAAAAAAAAAAAATCGTAATCCTATTTTATTGAAATGTAAA